ACGCCACATGACCGGGTGAGTTCGAACTCTCGTCCTTGTCATGTGTTTGAAGCTCAACTGCTTATGCCCCCCCATAGCAGAAGTTTCCGCTCATGAACTTTCAACTTTGCCTGTTCGTTGCTTCGCACGAAGAAGAGCATAGCTATGACAAGGTGCTATAAACCGGGAGTGAGTTCAGCAACAACTTTGTCATGGGCAGCCGCACTTGCTTACTGTCACCAACCTTGAAAAACTAGAGCTTCGCATGTAAACAGAAGCATCATGCGCCCGAGAGAACTACTCCATGCGAATGTTTAAGCCGGAATCCAGTCCGGAAGAAGTGACCCCAGCCCTAAATGGGTGCGGTCGCAGTTTTCATTCTTTATATGGTTCGTAGATAACTTTAACAGCAAGTTTTGATTGTGACTTACGTGACGTCCTGGCAAAACCTTGCGGATGGTTTTGGGGACCACAGCCGTTGCCACGAATCCCTAGCTAACTACTGTACAGGGCACGAGCCTCACTGGGACGTGATTTGCAACTTGTGTTTCCAGATCAAGGGAGTGAGGTTATCAGGTACGAGCACGAAGGACAAAGCTTTATGAGAGGTTCATTTTGGCTACCGGCACGCCGCATTTTCACAACCTCAGGTGTGAGGACCCGTCAGTAGTCCATGCACGGGGCAAGGCATTTAAGAATAATTTGCGGGCGCAATCATTTCGCCTCTTGGACTTTCTACAGTTTGGGTTGGACCTCTGTTTTTGCGGTAAATTAAAAACCCCCTTCCACTAACAGAAGGCACTGCAAAAGGGTGGAAGATCACTTTCCTCTTGTAGGGACCCCCTGTCGGGTGCCATGTTAGAGGGCCAACCCACTCGATGGGAAGTGAGACTCAGTCCCACGGTTGATCACTTCCGCCCAAGTTCCCGGCAAAATCGCCGCAAGAAACTTGAATGCGATGAATCTCCTGTGCTTTGGTTCAGCATCTGTCACATATTTTTCCCAGGCGTTCTCCCATGGAAATAGGTCTTGACATGGGACCTCCAGACATTCTCGTTCTCCGGTTCCAGCCCTTGCTCCCCTCTACGCCCCTTCATCCCCGAGTCGATCGCTGGTACCAATGGGATGCGAGGCGCTTGGGCCTGAAGAGCGACGGCTCTTGGCAGGCGGCCCCCATACCGTTGCCGCCCCAAGGGCTCAGCGACGAGGCGCGCGCGGCCACTGGGTGCCAAGCATAGGTGTCCTTTTTAATTAGGTGGTTAGCGTGGTTAAAAATAGAAGGCACAGGTTTAGACGGGTTTTATCACATTTACTTTTTTCCAGAAGGACATCTATGGTGCCAAGGGGCCACTCCTTGAGCTCTGTTTAGCACCTTTTTGGGTGGTTCGGTTTGGACCATTTTAATCTCACAACTCGCTGGGTGCCAAGGGATGCCACTCCCTGAGTTTTGGTTCGGACTTTGGCAAGCCTTTTTTTGGGGTTTGAACCAGTTTAGTTACGACCATCGACGGCTTTTCAGGGTGTCGAATGCGGAAATGCATTTTAGTGGCAAATAAAGAGTTCCTGGACTTTTGGACAATCCATTCATGAAGTGAGCCAATGGGCATACGGGTAGAGTCTGGGGGGTCGCGATGTCACGTTCCGGAGAGTTTTGCGACACCCATGAAGGTTCCTTAAAGCTCCCTGGTTTTCAGTCTAACTCATTCGCGCAGGTGGGGACCCCTTTGGGTAGAGTTGGAAGTGCCTTGAGTTGGAAGGCATGTCGGGTGAAGGGAGGCCCATTTTGAGACATTCGAATCAGGAACTGCTCGAGCAAGGAGTTGGAGGTTCAAGTCCATCCCGAAACAGCCAAGGCAAGTTATGGCAGGAAACCGCCGGTGACCCATGACCATGGTTGCAGCATGTCGGGCTGGCAATCGGTCCCTGGTCCAATTCCTTCAGGAAAGCCCAAAGAATGTTGCAAACAGTGGCACAAACATTTCAAGGGGTTGGCCCGACCCTAATGGGGATGGGTCTCCAGGGTAAAATATATGGAACCTCATGATTGGACTCCTGGACTACAAGAAAACAACACCAGAGCGCACAACGCAAAAAGCAAGCACTGCAAACAAAGCCAGCAACTGCGAGCAAGACGATTCAGAGAGGAGTCAGGCCTGCATGATTCCCGTGTTTGTTTCCATTAGAGCAAAAACAACGCCTCACCCATTGGACAAGTGGATCTTCTGGTGCTAGAGGCTTTCCAAACATGGAGGAGCAACTGACACTTTGTTCATCAGCAATTTGCCTTGAGCCTCTATGCCCCAATCGAGGGTTTTTTGGCGACAATCAAGGGGGCCAATCGAAACCTTGGCGCTTAGAAAAGAAAGAGGGCCGACAATGGCCAACCACCCCCCCGAAACTATACCCCAGTGGCTATGCCAATTCCCGAAAGGTAGAACAAGAATTGGACCACTTCGGCCAGGCACTTGGATCTCAGTTGCCCAAAGCGAATCGACCTTTGCACAACTTTCGGCTTTCCGCTTTTGGCTTTCCGCTTTTGCAACAATACAAGAGTCATGGCCTCAAAAGGTGATCACCTTTCATTTTGGGGTCCCTAAGGAACAAGTGAGGGAACCAAAAAAAACATGGTACCACAAGTGGGTATTGGTTTCAACCCGAACGGGCGAAACCCCAGACGCTGCCAGGACCGCCGCGATGCGCACCGGGGCTTTTGCTTCAACTCGCCGGAGCCTGAGAGCCGATGCCCAATCGAACTCTTGGGGTCGATGCCGTTGGGGTCGATGGCGCTCACTCATGGCCCCACTGAAGGTACCACCCACATAAATCCCAGGTTAGGGCCTGGCGTTCATCCTATTGCAAAAGTCTAGAACACCTGCAGGCCCAAAAGAGGTACAAATAATTATAGAGGAGGCAACCCATAGCCTTCTCAGGCTGATACCTTGGTTGCACTCGGCAGCATCTCGGTCGCTAGCGTCTCGCGAATGAAAACCTCGCTCAGTGGGGAACACGAAAAAACGATTAGTGCACATCTCTCTGTTGCATGACTCCAAGAACCCGCGAATTTGGAATGCAGGAGAGATTAGCTTGGCTTTTGCTGGGTGGTTGTTATGCAAGCCTAAAGCGTGCGGATCAGGTTTTGATGGAGCACTCATTCCTTAGAGGAGTTGCAGAAGAGCTGTGCGACTTGAAGCTCAAGTCTCAGGTAGGACCAGTTTGCTCCTCCGGATGTTTTGTGTTTGTCTTCGTCTCTTGTAGGGCTTGTTTGCTTGAGTATCCTGAATCGGTGAGACACACCGAATCATGCTCTAGGGCCCGGACAGGGAGTGCTAAAAGAGGTTCGCAACATTTGGAGTCAGGTTCCCTCCTTTCCGTTTTTTAGACCCCAGACACTAATGGAACACAATGACAATGGAACCTTCCAAATTTGCGCCCGTTCCCCCTAAAAATGCGCGATTCGCACATGTCTGCTGCAAAACACCCAGGGGACACATTATTTCAAGATAAATTAATGTAGCAAATGAAGGTCCAGGACATCATGGAACCAATTGAAAGCGAACATGTTCCACCTTTCCGTTTTTTGGAATCCCAAAACCAATGGAAGGAAAGCCGAAAGTCCCTTTCGGGTTTCATGGGAGGCCCCCAAGACAACCCCCGGAGGCGTGTCAGCGACTCCCTGCCCTTGGACAGGCCGAGACTCGGTTTGCCGCGCTTTTTTCACCATACTGCGGGCTGAGAGTGACACAAGGCCTTTTGAGGGGTGCTAGTGAGCTTTTCGAGTAGTGCCCTTTCTCACCGTTTCTTTGTTGGGGGGAGGCTTTTTTTGTACTAAAATAGACTAGAGAAAAAAGGGTAGCCTTATTCTAACCTCTCTACTGGAGGACCTAGTGAAACTTGCTCAGCAGGGAACGAGAAATGGAATGACCCCCATAAACCATCCCTTGTGGTTTACTTTAAGCTTTAAAGGGACCCCTGGGTTCTGTCACGCATTCAGGAAACTGAATGCAAACTATGATAAATTTAGTTAGGTTCTCAAGACTTACTTTTAGGACTCTTCAAACCTCCATGTCGAGAGTCTGAGAGTGATTGGGTCATTTCAAGGACGGTTCTTTCCCGGACCTTCCGCGAGAGATCTGTTTAAGGAACACGGATGAACTTAAGAGTCAGACGAATGGCGGATTGGCCAATCCAAACGAGCAACACACGACACGCCGAAGCAACCCTCTTTCTCCCCATAGCACACTTTCGTGCTCCTTTGAGCCACGCTTTTGCAATTTGGCCAGATGTTCGCTAGAGCCTTGAAATGCGGGGTGTGCTTACAAGCGGGCTTCCGCACATGTCCCTGAATGCCATGGAAGCTCAATCGCCAGAATGCGCCCAAGAGTGGAAAAACCGGAACAAGGACCCATGTTGCTTGAGGGCGTTTTTCTGCCGAGCCACGAGTAACCTTGGAAAAATCGCAGCCGCTGCCGTTTTTCCTCTGCCGCGCCCTTGTTTGTCATATTTGCTTTGGTGGGGTCATCAGGTCTTGGGTTCCTTAGGGTTGGGGCCACTCAATGAGCACCACCTTATTGCCAAACTTGATGGGAGTTTCCTATGGCTGGGGCGATGCTTGGAAGGGGGATGCATGGACTCCCGCGAAGGACTTCCACCTGGAAAGCCAACGAATGATTCCTCGTTCGAGTCCTTGTGTGGGCAAAGGTGTCAATCCGAACTGGTTTTCAGACGGACGCACGCGGCAATGGCATGGCATGTGCTGGGCTCGGAACTCAGAACATCTCAGAGCTGCATGGGCATCGCTTGAGTCAGTCTGCACCCTCTGATATTTGACTCCACTCTGCACACTTTATTCAAAGGGCCTTTTCTCCCTTTTGGCGCAAGCGCCTCTCTTCAAAGCCTGCAAAGCATGGTGATCCTTGACCAGCTCAGATTGGCCGACGCTGGCCAACGGGGCAAGCACAATGCACGCGGCAGGGGTCTGTGCTCAAGGCGCTCGGCTCGTCGACTCCGCCCGTCTCCGCGCGATGGCGACGCCCGTCCGCGCGCGCCGGGCCTCGCGGAGCGAGTTCGCGACCCCGGTGAAGGCGGCAAAGCCAGCGGCACTGCAGGGGATCCCGGAGTTGGCCAAGGAAGAGACGCTTGAAGCCCATGGGTTTTTTAGAACATATAGGTGTGTTTTTAGGGGATGCGGATCACTTTCGGGGGGAAGGGCTTGGGTTTGGATCCTGTATTCATGGAGGCTTCCCACCACGAATAGGAACGGCTTGGTCAGGGCGACTAAATGCTACAGGTGGACGCTTCAGGTGTTCAGGGGGAGATGTTTAGGTGGCAAGTGTAGCTGCGCGATCGTTTTGGCTTCCTGTAGACCCCCAAAAGGGGGACGGCAAATGAGCAGGGGCTGGCGATTTGGTGGTTTTGGGCGTCCGGGACAGAACATTTGCCCTGTTGCCCAGTGGCGCCGTTCTTCATTTTTTTGGGGCAGGATGGGGTCTTGAGCAATGTGGCGGCACCGGCCAAAAAAGGATGCCTTTTTTTTCCCCATGGCCACTGGGCATCTGAGCTTGTGAGCAGTGAGGAAGGCCGGGTCGAGCAAAGAAGAGGAACGAGTTGAGCTAGTGATCCACGACACTCCGGAGGGCCCCATCTTCCACCTGGACGGGGAGACGTATCGCGTCCTGGATGTGCCAGCCTTGTGGGAGGTGGCTCGCCGGATCAGAAAAACCCTGCTTTTTGGAGCCCCCGACGACCGGTTTTTGGACCCACAAGCCAAAAAGGTAGAAGGGGAGGTCAAATGAACAGTTTAGGGGGTTGGAAAACCAGGGCCCCCTCCAAAAATATGTGGCTTTGAAAACGCTTTGTCAGTTGTGGCGTTCCTTCGTTGTCCATAAGTGGAATTTTCCGGTGGAATTCCCCCTGCCAGATGATACCTATCTACATATTATATCTATACCTACGTATACATATGTACATATACACATTGGTATGAATATATGTATACATATATATATATATAACTATAGAGAGAGAGGGGGATGTATAACAAAACTGCAAACTTGTGTTACATATGTATATTGTTGCCCAATGTTATTTTCTCCCGTGGGCCTCTGAGCCTCTTGGCGCTTTTGAGGTGGGCATCATTGAGACCAAGCCCCGCGCGTCCCGTTCCTTGGCAGATCTCAAGCAATCGCTGCGGGCCACGGAAGGCAACGAGGGCGACTGCGACATGACGTGAGTGCCCTGGCTCACTCTGCTCACTTGCTTCCATTTGTTTAAGAATGTGTTTTATTTTCCCCTCTTGGTTTTAAAGGGAGTCTATCACTTCTGGATGTTGTTGTTAAAAAAAAGGGGCTTGAGCAAATGGAAGCTTGCAACCAAAGCGAATTTTGTCCATTTTGGACCTTTTTGGTTTCCTTGGTTTTTTCCCAACCATTTTGAGTCACGACCCCAAAAGACGATCACCTTCATATCTCCAGGGTTCAGGGCAAACGAGTCTTCCTGGTTGACATGGCAAGCTTTGAAGACTGATGGAGCAACCTGCCATGTCAGCTCAGTTCATTTGCTGACTTCAAGAGGGCTTTTCCGTGTTGACTTGGCAAGCTTGGCTGTCAAAAATCGTCATGGACTAAACCCGGCGGTCCTGGGTCCGATTCCTGGGTCCGGTTTCATTTTGACCCATACCCATATGAGGATTGCAGTTCAGCCGTCAGCTCGGGCTCAGAGGCTCAGAGGATCAGAGGCTCAGAGGATCGGGTTTCTTCGGGCAAGGGTCCAGCCAGTACTTCCATTTTCCTGGCCAGTCAGTTGCTCACTCGCATCGCCCTTTTTGTTGCATCTATCGAGCTGACCCGATGGAGGTCTTTCACTTGGATTCCAGTCCTGCTTTAGGGTCTGGAATTCTTCTAAGAGCTGCCTTTGTGATTGGTGTGTCTTACCCCTTCTGGTGAGGTTTGAAAACAATCCAAAAGGCAATCAACCATGAGAAGAAAATTGTGTGTGTGTTCCCCTTGTCAAAAGCTCCAGAGAAAGGTAGTGCCCCTAAATTTGCGCTATAGAAACCAGCCGTGTAGCCCTTGTGAAAAACCATGCAAGGCGGTGCAACATTCAGGGTGCAACTTGGAACCTTTCGCCTTTGTGATCGTCGGGTGTTTCTTACAAATGTTGGTTTTAAAGGTAAAGCACGCGGACACCTGCCATTTCAAGACGAAAGTCCTTTCTTTGGACAAGCCCTGTTTTGAAGTTTGGGTTTCCGTTGGCTTTGCACCCACATAAGTAGGTGGTGTCTTCTTTGTTTCTTTGTGTGTGTGTGTGGCTTAGCGGCTTTCCCTTGGCAATGAACTCATCAACAAAAAGCCGGCCTTTGCTTTTTGTGTGATGCTCTGCAAGTAAGGTGAAGTGCATGGGAGCAGCCAATGGGGTGAAACCGGCTGCCGATTCCTAGAGGGATGACAGTGTGCACACTGCCCAGCAAGTGGACGTGTCTCGCGACGACAGGCAAGCTCGATCCATTTGCAGTAAAAGGCCGTGACTGGGAAGGGCGGCCAATTGAATCCATTTGAGATGTTGGCCGGTCAGTGGAGGGGAAAGGAGCAGGCGCTTTGGCAAAGGCGTGGAGACATGCACTCCTTTTTTTTGGTTGCCGTTCCATCGGCAAAATGCGTTTTGGGCTCCAATAGCCACATTCCATTCTAGACGGCAAGTAGATGCCATGGCAGCTCAGGAATTTCATGGGTTCTAGGAATCTGGGTGAATTATAACGACCTCACACGACTGAATTCACCCCAAATGGTGGTTTATGTGGGGAATAGCACCCCAACCACCTTTTTCGGGCTGGTGAAATATTTTGGTTCACCCAGATAAATGTGCCCCAACTCACTTCCTGAGTTCATGAACTTTGAACTTTTTTGGGAAGACCAGTTTAGTGGTAAATATAAAGTTCTGCCTTTTTTGGGGCCATCCACTCAGCCAGTGAGCCAAAGAATTTGGCACCCAACAAAAGCCATTGGCGCTCCGTCCGCGGAGCCGGGCATCCTATCCTGAGCTCGACTTCCGACTTCCGTCGACCTCAGGCCGAGAGCCCTGGGTGAAATGGGGCCTGGCAGTTGAGTGGGGGGGTCAATTTGCATGTGCCGCGTGGCTGAGAGATGAGTTCTGAGGTTTGAAGCCGACATGTTAGGCAACGCTCTCCGGAGTCAGAACTCAGATTCTTTTCGGCCTCACCGGGCTCACCGGAAGCAAGCGCTTGCCAAGTTCTGAGACGTAGCTCTGCGATGCAAGGGGTCCTTGGAGAAGCATTGGGTCTGGCCAGTCTTTTGCCAGACCTGGGACCTCCAGTTGGTGCCTGGGAGGGGTTTTCAAGAAAAAAACACCCCAACAGAGGGTGGAGTAGTTCCCTTGGTTCCTTTTGTGGAGGGGGTATGATATCCCTTTCCAGTCGATCCATTCACCTGTATAGGTAACCACGGGAGCCACCCTTTCAAAGCCAACACAGAATAGCCGGTTGGTCCTTTAACATCAGCACGGAAAAGGGAGCCAATCCTTTACGTCATGGGCACCCACTGCGGGGGCTGGGGCACACCCTTGATTGGAGCATGGCCGCGTCCTGGATCCGATCGCAAGAAAGTGTGCGCTTCTGGTCATGGGATGGTTCGGTTGATACGGATGCCGTTGCCATACTGCAAGTCAACCAACCACAAAAAAAAAAATCACAGGAAACATTGCGGTTTGTGCTAAACCCCCACAGCCAGGGAACATGCCGGAGTTTGCAAGCTTCCGCACTTGCAACGTGGCATGTGTATCCGCCTTACAGGTTCTTTGCACGATTTTGTTGATGGTACCAGTTCTGTGGTCGTTTGAAAGGCAGACCAAGGGGAAACCACCTCACAGTCTGAACGAAAAACAAGGATTGTGCCACGCGAAATTCGGTTCAATCGGCCCGCTTTCCTGGACAGGATGCAGAAAGACGTCGCTGGCTGAGTCGCAGCGTCTTTTCGCAGAGGCATTTGGCTTGGAATGCCCCGAGCCTAACGACCAAAACAACTGGCCGCCGGCCCTGTTTTGTTTTGAGGGCACCCTGCTTCGTTGGTTGTAAGGGGAAACTAGGCGGAAACCAACCATTTTTGGCAGTTCCCAAAAAAAGACATTTGGGTGTGTATTGAGTCCTTGTTGGGATGTGCAAAGACCTCGAGACTCTTGGGTTTGTGGGCAACCTGAGCGCCAGGAAATCGGGCTGAACCCAGAACCTGACCTGAGAAACAAATTCCCGGATGGACCTCTGTCAATACCGGGATAAGACAACTACCTGCGGTAGCAGCTGGAGCGGGATTCTTTCCACGGGATTACTTAGACAACGTCCTCAACGGATGCGGCGCAGCGGCTAAAGCTTTGGAGCTTTGTCGCGTTATCGCAACTAAAGCAAGCTTCAAATCGGGGGATTCTCAAACGATATGTTGGAACTTAGTCGGGAATATTGTTCTAGAAAATGCCTTTTGTGAATTTCACCGTTCTTCCACCTCTTGGTGCTTTTTTTTGTTATTACAGCGGTGGACCCACAGATTCGCCAGATCCAAACCGTTTTCTAGGAATTGTTCTGCCCCCAGATGGCCAAGACGATTTGGAGCTTCAGTCAAGCGAAGCTGCGCGCCGGGCTTTAGCCTCTGGATCTGCCACTCTGCCATCCGAGTTCCGGTCTGCAGCCTGCCGCAAGCGTGCAGAAGGCTTGGCGGGGGCGTGGGCTTGCCTCTTGTTTCAACCTCTTGTCTCATGGGAACAACAAGATAGGGGATATATTTTTGCCATATCGCAAGTAAGGGAACAAGGGCAACCCGCAATTTGCTGCAATTTGCCATGGTCTTGTGGTCGAGTATAATGGGCTTACTTGCCAATATGCAGGGTCCCAAAAGCAAGATCTCCCGCACAATGCGGCCTGACTCTGTGTGCTTCATTGTCCGAATCTAAGCTTCTGGTGGCTTGTGATCACGTTCGCTTGAGAGGAGTGCCGTGATGTGCTGCTGGCTTGTCAAAACCGTCTACATGCCACCCAAAGCCGCTCAATGATGTTTGTCGTTGCGACAGGTAAGGTATCAGGTGGGCGGGTTGAGCTGACACCGCTGGAGGTGCAGGGAACTCACCAGCAGGTCTGCATGTGTAGCCAGGCTGTGCCCATGTCGGAAGTCAGTGGGACTCTGATTCTCTGGGATCTGGTTGAAAGATCCCTTCGCTCCAGGCGACCTGGGCACGTGTGGTGAATGGCTCGGCTCAGCATCTTCCATGTGCGTAAGAATATGTGGTATTCTCCCCTGTGGGTTTTTAATGGGACGCTACTTCCGGTTTTTCGAAGGGGACTTTCGCAAATGGAAGGAGTGATGAAGCTTGCCACATGCGGTCGTGCTTGTTTGTCCGCACCTAAGCATGAAGGTGGGATTCTGATTCGCGAATCGTTTCCGAATCCGCGGTCGCGATGAATGCCAGATTTTCAGTTCCGGTCGACCCTTCGGTTTTTAGTTTCATCTTGTGTTTCGGGGTGAAAACTGGATATCCAAAAGTCGCTCGACCCTTCCTTCATGTTGGATCCCGGTTTTTGTAGTGGGTAACCAGCCATTTTCCCATTGTTTTTAAAGGGTGTTTCCCTTGGTTACCCACTCACAGGTAAATGGATCTGGGATGTTGGCTTGTGGTGACGGTTTGGATCGCTCTCGGTTCACCAGGATATCCCAGCCAGCTGCCAGTGGCCACCGCCTGGCCGGCAGAGTTCCGTGGCAACAGCTCGTGTCTTTCCAGTGACGCAACTGCCGCCTCACTAGGTCCCCCAGTAGCGCAGTAGTGCCCTTCTCTCCCCTTTTTGGGGGGAGGGTTCGGGACCCTACGAAAATGGTTCCCCTAAAATAGACGACCGAAAAAAGTTGGTACCCTTGTTCTAACCTCTCTACTACAGGACCTAGCTCAGTTCTTACCTACCCACAACCGGGAAATGTGCCATCTACTTTCATCATCACATCTGAGCCTTTTGGCCGCCTTGATTTGTTATGTCAACCTGAGGGGCCAAGAAGAAGTCGGTCACTGTGACAACCATTGTGATCCTGAAGCCCTTCTTCTGGCGTTGGGGAGCTTGTTCAACTTTCAGGTAGTTGCTCCGTGGCTCCTAACGGCTTGTCTTTGAAGGATAGTTTGGCAGAGATCGCCTTGGCGCATCTTTGCGCCACGTAGTACCAGGCCCAGCCACTGGTACCTGTTATCTTGGTGGCCCCAACCATCCGGTTCCTTAGCTTTTCAGCCTTTTGGTGTTTAGTGGTAGTTTCCATTTCAGCCACTAAAAGTTAGTCACTGTTAGCGGGGGATCAGTTTGGGGAGCCCAGTTGATTTCACGGGAGCCCGTCAACTTGGGAGAGCATATGAAAAAAAGGCAAGCTGCAGCGTCCCTTTGTTTTCCACTAACAAGGCAATTGTTTTTTTTCTGCTGCCCCGTAAGCATCGACTGGTCGATTCTCTTTGCAAAAAAACAGCCACGAACAGGGGTCCACTGGCTCACTTGCCCGAAGCGAGTCGACCTTTTGACCTTCCAGTTTTGGTCCATTTTTGGTACAGGTGCCAGAGGTGATCACCTGTTTGTTCTTTTGGGCAACTGAGCTGGTGTCCTACTTGTAAGAGTCAACCCATAGGTTGGCCTAGGGCTCTGCCCTGCGCTTTGCATCAAAAGGTCGAGAAGATGAATTCTTCTTGGTGTTTTTTTCAGGTTCTGAAAGGAACTCTCACGTTTTCTTTTGGAAGTTGAAAACAGGGGGGCAGTTGCATAGGGATCGACCAATTCATCAAGCGATCTGGTTGACAGGGGGTTCTAAGGCTGAACGTCCATATCAGGGAATTCATGGGGTTCCGTTTGTTTGACTACCCAAAGGAAAACTTAAATCAAGGTACGGTGGATGCCCCGTTCGCCCTATGGCAAGTTTGTGGGAAGGACCCGTGGTTGGTTTACTTGCAGCATGGACAGGGCATTCACCGTTGTTTGTTTGTTTTTCAGTGCCTGCCAGGTGGTCATCGTGTTCCACAACGAGGCCTTCTCAGTGCTCCTAAGGCCGGCACCAAGAAAGAGCCTCCCAAGTGCCGCCACAGTAGAGGAAAACATGTTTACTCCCATCGGCTCATCCACAAACATGGAGCCTCACCTCACTCCCTGCCTTCCTGGACTGTATCCTTTTCTGGGCTGATCAAGTTGAGTGGCAAACCAAAAGCAAAGACATTTTTCCTCAGGAAGCGGGCACAGGGGGGTCCTGGAAAAAAAGGAGTGTCCTCCAAAACGGAGCCCCTGGCTCCAGCGGTTCCAGCGCTTCCGTGGGCCAGGCGGCTTTCCGTTCCCAGGCTGTAACTTGGAACCTGGAACTGGCGTTGCACCGAAAAGGCAAAGGCAGAAACACAGATCTCGGACTGGCTTTCGCTCGGCAGTGCCGGGCGCGCGTGGATGGCAGTGCAGTGCCTGTGTGGCGCATATCCGTTTTTTGTAGGGGGTGTCGAAAACCTCAGCGCAAAGCGAATCGACCTGTGAACAACTTTTGGATTCCCCGACGTCCACGTGAGTCCCAAAGGTGCAACCTATTTCTGGGTCCCTAAGGTAACCATGATAATGGGTTAGTTTCAATCCGAAGTTCTGGTGAAACCACCCGCTGGACAGTTTCAACACGTTTCAACCGGAAACATATGTTTGGTATGTGGCGTTGATTCCCCGAAACGGATTTCGTTTGTTTTCCCTGTGGTTCCCCTGGCAACCCCTCCATTTGCCTAAGCATATATGTTTTGCGTCCCCAGTTGGTTTTATCACTAGTGGACTTTGCTTTCAGGACTGAAGTGACTTGACTGCTATTGGGTTGGATCTTTAGACTTTAACTTTTTGGAAAAGCAAGGGGTTTTCCACTAAACACCCCAAAAGTTAAGCTTTTTGCAGGGGGGTCAACAGCAACTAAGGTGAATGGAGGGCCCCAAAAAGGGCACCCAAAAAAGGGAGAGACCTGAGAGCCATTTGCCTCACGCCGCGGACAGGTCGGTGCACTCGGTGCTCAACACGTCACCGCCCCAATACTTGAAGGAGGCGCAATTCGGACTTTCGGCCGAGTGTCCGCATGCCATGGATGCTCACTTCCTGATTTCCTGGACTTCATACTTTTTTGGGAAGACCAGTTACATGGCTTAGCTGCTATTGGGTTAGATCTTTAGACTTTAACTTTTTAGGAAATCAAGGGTTTTTCCACTAACCCCCCCCCCAAAAAAAAAAAACAAGTTAAGCTTTTTTGAAGGGAGGTCAACCGCAACCAAGATGGTAAATGAAAGGTTTGGACTTTTTTGGTCCATCCACTCAGGAAGTGAGGACGTGTCGGTTGAAGCATCACTTCATCACTTGTTAGGGCTGGTTTGAAAGGGAAAGGGAACCACTCGAATTGGAGGGTGGTTGACACGCTGCGTCAAATGCTCCCAATTTGAGCAATGGGAGGACCAAGAGGGGAGATGGAGGTCACAATGCAGGTAGCTTGGGAAAAGGGCCCACAATTGATCAGGCAACCCTTTTTTCTCAGCCCAAAGCCAAGCTTTTAAGGTGTTGGTGTCCCTGATTTGGCCCATGTTTAGTCAAGGTCCCCAAAGGTCAACCTTTAGGTTTGGCAACTGAGCACTTGGTGGGGAGAGCCATGAATAGCAACTTAGCTTTGCTGCTGTTGCACGGATCCGGCGGATCGGCGGCGCGGGCGCGCGTTCGAAGCGGCTCAGATTATCCTCGTGGATGACGCCAGTCATCCCGATGACCTCCGATTCTACCGGAAGCATTGGCGGGGGGGGGGGGGGGGTGGGATCAACTCACTGGCATCCACAGCGAATCGACCGGATCTGATCTTCGGCGGTTCCCTTTTCTTCGCCCAGTCTTAGTCAAGGCCAAGAGGGGTTTACCGTTCATTTCTTTTGCTTCCCCCTGTTTTGTCCTTTTTATGGCCGCAGACGGGTAACCTTTCATGAATTGGCTTCCAAGGATTTGATTTGGCTGACTGGTTGCACCTGTCCCAATTCCTAATCCCGAAACGTGTGCCACCAATCACGCAGTATCGCGAGAGGGCTACAAGGCAAGAAAGGAGACACAGATTCCTTAAATCTGAACCAACCAAACCGACTTTGTTATCACACGCCCTGTTGGGGGGATCAACAACTTTATCTTTGAACTTGTCCTTATTGGGAATCAGCGGATTTTCCATTGGACCCACAAACAGTTATTCACTTTTTTGCAGAGGGGTGGTTGCAGCAACCAAGAAATGTCACATTTTATGCAACAGTGGATCATATACTTTAATGAAAGGGGGGTGGCCAACGGCGGCGGCCCAACTCTGTCCTTACCATACATTGCCATGGCTGACCTGTTTTGTTTCTTGGCCTTTTTGGGTGTTCCTTCGTTCCCCTTTTCACTGACACATTCGAGCCTTTCTTGGGGAGAACTCTAGACAATGTCGGAGACGGATTTATCAACTCCCCTACAAGTGGAAGATGCCCCTCCAAAATGGGGAACCTGGCTATGAAGCAATGATGGGTTCACTATTCCTGGGTCAACACTGCTGGAAATTACTTCTGAGTTCATGAATCCCAGGCACGTGACGTGCACAGGGTGCTCCATTAACCTTTCCGACATCGCCCCAGCGCCGGCTGGTTCGCCTGTTTTCGCATTTGTTTGGGTGAGACTTGCCTGGTCTCAGTTGTCAAAATCCGACCTTTTGAGCTTTTGGTTTCCACAGTTTGGTCCACATGTAGTCATGGCCCCAAAAGGTGAATCTTTTTTTTCCGGGTCCTTTGGTAAATCTGCCTGTAAGCAGCTGCCTTTGTTTACATGCTGAGGCCAGGTCGGCTTCCAAGCCCGCAGCAACCGCAGCTTCGGCCCAGCTTGGGGCCGCGGGAAAATGTTCATGGGCCGCATCTCTGTTTCCATGCAACTCTTTGAGCCATTGGGCTCTTGCAATATGTGGCAGACAAAAATCAAAGAGCTCATGATTAACCTTGGCCTTCATTCTTGATAGGCTGAGCTTTTTTCTTCATGGCCCTTTGAAGGTGCCCTCCTTGCTTGCGAATTGGATCTCCATGTCGCGTCTTGCGCTGCTGCTTCCCTTGGCGGCGGCGGTTCCTTGGCGCCTTGGCCAGCGGAGCTGGGAGGTTTGTAGGGGGGTAGGTCAGTCACTTTGGACAGTTGGTTTCGGACCCATGGGGCTGGTGTTGTTTTACTATTTGTTGGTGAGGCGTGGTGAAGCAAGGCGGAATTTGGCTTCACCTTGTGGTAGCCACTGTGAGTTTAGTTGTCAGTTTCCGTTGGATGAGGGTGATGTAAAGCTGCCAGTGAAAGGCAGGAGCAGCAAATGTCATCAGCTCGATGCTGAGAGATGTGGCCGAATAAAGGCCAGACTCTGCGCAGTAGTTTGGCGATCTCTTGAAATGGATGGTATCAACCTGGAGTCCTCAAATTTACCTGGGGACACACACACACAGGATTGGGTTTCTTGCCGCAGCTACGGCTGGGCAGGTCCAACCACGGGAGTTTTCAGACGCGGGTTGCATGGAGCTTGGTACGCCACAGGGCTAGATACCGCGTTACCAACTTATGTTAGTAGAAAAGCATCCTTACTAATCCTTACCTTCAAAACCCACGGGAAATGCCCTTGATTGCAGGATTTCCCAAAAGGTTGGAGATTCGGCCCCATCGCCGCAAAAACGCGAGGAAGTGTCTCGAGGAAATGCCGGCTGCACTAATCTGGGGAGTTTGTTTGGGGCTCTGCCCTGAAGATCTGGGGGTTGAGCTAGGGAGCAAAATGGGCAAATCCCACGTGGGCACCCACGTGTTGTTTAAATGCACGATGCAGCCTTTAGAGGTGATACCCTGAAGCCATCAAATTGAACGCAGGGGTGAAACCGCTGAAGACCGATTCTGAGTGAGGCTTTTCGGAATGGAATCTCGCTTCATTGGAGGGTTGCACTGGGGTACACTCCCTTCCGCTTTGATTCCTGCCCAAGGTTTTGTTCTTGAAGCAGGGTTTTTCCTTGGAGCACCCTGGACTTCTTGTGATGCGCGAATACCGCTGGAAGTACTCAGACAGCCAACCGAGAACCAACTAGGGATGCACTATGATTTGCGAGGCTATACGCGGGATGAACCTCCAAGTGGCTGTGGGTCAAAACCAATGGTACCATTTTAGGTAGGTGCACCACCCATTTTAGTCTATTTTAGTGGGGATTGGGATGTTCACTCAAGGTACGGGATTATGACCCATGGCCAAGTGAATCGTGTTGCGCACTTGCCCTGTTGCGTCCCAGTTTCTTCCGGGAGTTGGCCCATCGCTGCATGACCCCGGATTGATCAACTTGGCGGACGAAAAAAAGCGGGGAGTGTTCCCCCTCAAGAAGGCTCCCAAAACCGGGATGCCATATTGCAAGTAAACCAACCACACCAGGCCAAAAAACCAGAGGAAACTCGCAATATGGGTGTGTCTTGTTTTGTTTTAGATTTTAGCTCCAAAAGAACCGGTCGGTCTCCCTTGAAAAGCCCAACCTAAAGTGGGTTCCCCCCCAAAAAAAAATAAAAATAAAATAAGAGTATTATAGGCCCATATGGGTGTCCTTTGGGTTTGCTTTTTTTTCTTCAGAAAACCGCAAGGAAGCCATCCACCAATTCGCTTCGGCTGAGGTACTTGGTGGATGCCGATGCCTCGGTCGAGGGAGTTCGGACGGGTATGGCGGGTTTTTCGCGGGCGAGGAGCGAGTGGTTTTGGAGGGCGGAAGGCGAAAGGAGCCTCTTTTTGTTGGTTTGTTTGGACCGAGCAAACCGGAGAGCAAAAAAAAGAGAAACACAAACCAGGCTAACAGGTTGTTTGGAAGGAGAACCGGAAGGAAGCCCGGGCGTTTTGGAGGGTTCCGATTCCGACTTTGATGCAGGCCCGCCTTGAACTCACAAACAGTTACCCAAAAAAGGCACCCAACAGGATTTGCCAAAAGAAAAGCCACCATCTTGGCCGATTCGGCGTTGAAGTGGGGAACCCGGTTTTCTGCTGGTTTTTCTTTCACGCAACAGGGCAACTCGAAAATGAGTCACACCCATTGCGGACTGGGTCTTTGTGTCAGGTTATTTTCTTCAGCCTTTTCTCCTGTAACCCTAGCGGTGTACTGGATACTATCGGATAGGGACCAACATGGGCCGCCCGATTGAGAAGTGCGCGCTTCGAAGCACGCCGAGTCCTTCTCAGGTGCCGGTGGCAGTTTGCGGAGGGGGCAACACCACCTTGGTGCTGTCCGTGAAAAATCTGGAGCTTCCTGTGTCTGACCGATGCCCGGTGAGTCGGTGAGGGGTAAAAATGCGTTGCGTACCAGTTGGCCGCCTCTGGAATCAAGTTTTGGGCTGGGCCGTTTCGATCGCTTCAATCACAGGGTGGACCAGACACATGACTGGTCAAGGTTCTGGCCGGACGGCCCCATGAGAGTGTGTGAGCTGTAGGGCTAAATTGGACAACATTTTCCAGTGGACCCGCGCGGGGTCAGCATCTGACAGGGGCCGGCCGATAACTGTGAGGTCGATCGCCAATGTTTATTCGAGTCTCGGGACAGATCAAGGGCACGAGGGCCAATGGTAATTTCATCATTGGGGGTTATATGTTTTCTCGCTTGTGGCGTGGTTGTTTCTTGCTTGGGACGGAGAAGCAGGCATGCTTTTCAGGGCGTGGCTTCATGGACCGGTGCTGGGAGGAAGGTGCTAGTGCCCGAATTTTGCTGGCGGAAGCCATCGTATCATATCTCGGCAAAGGTTCTCCATTTTCCATATCAGACTCTCAACGCCTAGACTGTTTCTGCTTAAATCGTTCCGTACACAATGCTGTGTTGAGAGAGTCCCGAAGAGAAAGAACAGCTGTTGCAGGTGCCTTGGCTGGGAAGAGCTATATGTCTATGAGACCAACTCTGCGACCCCCGGGTTTTTGTTGTTGTTGGCCGTTGTCTTCGAAAGCTTGTTGTATCTTGTTGCAACGCCTCTGCGCTCCCCCCCACCAACCAATTCCCCCCCCCCCCCCCAACGTCACGCACTCACTCGCTGACTTTCCTGGGGCTGGCCACATTTCAGTGGCCCACTCGATCAGAAGCGAGTCAGAGACTCTTGGTTCGCGGGGCTCCCCGCCAATCGGTGAAATCGGCGGCGGACCGGTCGACGCAACTGAGCCGGTTCAGTTCCAGTCGCAAGACCCAGTGGCAGGTGAGGCACTAGCCCAAGATTCAGGGCCCTTTGATGCGGGAAACGAGTTCCAGGCTTCAACATGCCGACCAAGGACTCAAGCCACACATCCTGACCGTGATTCGATCCAGTGACAAGGATGTGTCTTTCACGGTCGAGGGGGTCGACAGCTTGTCAAGACCAATATTGAAAGCAAACGCTCCTTGGCTTTTCAGGGAGTTGTGCTGGAGCCTGCTCTGCAAAACAATTGACGAATGGCATGCAATTCGAAGATTATTTTGCAATGCAAAGTGCATGTCATGATGCACCGCCTCCTGATGGACCAAGTTTCGAAGTGGATGCAGAGAATGGGTTCGCTGACCCGAGGTGGCGCTGGGGATTTCCAAAGCAGAACCCGCCGACGCGACTGCAGACAAGGCTGTAGACAAGCCTGCAGACAAGCCTGCAGACAAGCCTGCGGACGGCAAGACTGCAGAGGACAACAGCACGGCAGAGGACAAGACTGCAGAAAACAACGAGACTGCAGAGGCACCCGGGTTTGTTCAAAGCATGTCAAAGTGCAACGCGGCGAGTCAAGCAGGATTCGCACACGAGGGCGAGCGTCCTTTGGTTGGCCAATGTGCTCTGCAGTGCCACTTTTGGTGCCAAGAGGCCCCCTTTGAGGGTGACAAGCTTCTGCTATGGGGAATCAACCGGCTTTGCTTGCGGGTTGCGCCAGGACAACAACTCGGCCGTGGAGGCGCAGAACGACTTGACTCAGGAGCTGCTGGATGGTGTCCTCAAACTGGGGCCTTTCTTTTCTTTTTTTGCGCGCGTCTGAAGCCCAAACGAGTTTGCTCGCGAATGCTGCCGGATTTTTGCTTCGCAGGTGCCCTTCGAGAAAGCTGACCTTTCCAGCATCAAGCTTGCGTAATACCTTCTTGGCATTTGAAGTGACGCGCAGCTCGTGGGCAACCGGGCAGATTGTCAATGTAGTGAGGGCCGGTGTAAGTGTTCCTTTGCCGCTGTTCTTCAATCGCGGGCCAAAAATAGTTGTGCCCCTACTCGAATTCTAGGGGGAGCGTCCCCCTTCTTTCCAGGGATCCTTCATTTCAGGAAACCATGAACATCCCAGGGGAAGCAGCTCGATGGTTGAAAAGAATGGCAAAGGAACCCAACCCTACCCTAATTCCAAGCAGGGGAAGGAGCATGAAGGAGCCAAGAAAGACGTTGCCGGAACATTCCGGCCGCATGTGTTTTTTTTTGGGCGCAAAACCTCCAAGCTCGTTCCTGGGATTCGAGTCGACTGGGCCAAGATGATTGTAGTACGAGCCATGCTTTGCTTGCTGGCCCCCAGCCGTCCGGTTCCTTGGCTTTTTAGGCTTTTAGGGTTTAGTGGTAGTTTCCATTTCAGCCACTAAAAGTTCAACTTTTAGCGGGGGATCTGTAAACGGACAGCCATGCTTTGGCACAGCCAGGAACTGAAACTCGAAACCCCAGGGAGTGAAGTCTTATTGCCAGGAGACCTATGTGCGCCGTCTCATTTCAAGGAGGCAAGCAGGGGAGGTTGGACCGGTTTTGAGCTTCGGAGACTCGTGGCTCGTGCTAGGAAGCCGTTTCGAGGACGAAGGCTGAGTGGCAAGGGTGGAGGAGGAGGGGAGCTGAAGCCTTGCAGATTTGTAGCTGAAGTCTTCTTTGATTTTGGATGCGTTGTGGAGCGCAAGCGTCAAGGAACTCGAAGGCTTGGAGGCTTTTGTGTTGTTCTGACTTGTGGCTGTGCAGAATGGCAGCTGGCAGTTGCTTGCGGTGTGGGGGGGTGTACCCACGGCCTATCCCTTTTGGGGCACGTGGGTTTCCCTGATGTGAACACATCCGTAGGAGGCGGTCATCGTGGCGGTGGCGGTTTTTCTCCACCCCGCCGGCGCTATTCCTCTCCACCCAGGCGACGCTATTCCTCCCCGCCAAGGACGGGCTTGGCTTGGGATTTTCAGCAAAATTCTAGGGGTTGATTCCCCATTCTTTTCAGCCATCGTTCTTTTCAAAAAACCTGCCGTTTTCCCTGGGATTCCGGAGGTTTTCTAGAAAGAAGGATCCTTGGAAAGAATGGGGGAGGGAACTGCAGCCCCAACAGCAACCCTTGGAAACCGTCCGGAACAAGACATTGCTCGGAGCCGCTGCAAATTCCAAAGCCTATTGCCCACTGCCAGCTTCATTCCGTCTTTCAGGTCCTTTTTCACATTGGGCAGGGTTCAACTTGACGCAGGAGGCGGTATGCTGGCATCTCTCCACCCAGGAGAAGGTACGCTGGCATCTCTCCACCCAGGAGAAGGTACGCTGGCGTCTCTCCACCCAGGAGAAGGTATGCTGGCGTCTCTCCACCCAGGAGAAGGTATGGCGGCTTTTCTCCACCCAGGAGGCGGTATGGCGGCTTTTCTCCACCCAGGAGGCGCTATGGCGGCTTTAGTGCCCCGGCAACTTGATGATTTCAGATCGTTCTGCTCAGAAATTGACTGCCCTGTAAACAGTGCCGCGTTTTGAAAAAAAACGCGCAGCCCAATCACGTCGTTGCCCTTCCTTGCCCTTCGCATGCAACCCAAATCTGGCCAGCTTCTGGCTTTCAAAACATGCCCCAGCCCGGTACCTGCTCTTCTGTTTGGGTGTTGAATGGCCTTTGCTGCCCGTTGTTCCATTTTTATGGCCTTTTTTGGATTTGGGTTTCCCCAATTTCCATGGGAACGTGGCCCCTTTCATGGCCGTTTTCCATGGGACGTTTTCCCCAATTTCCTCATTTTCATGTGGTTTCCATGGCCATTGCTCGGCTTCTGAAGTGGGCCCGCTACCTCTAAGGTGGTGACCGACGGCGCTACCAGCCTCAGCCACTTGGGCCGAGTTGAAGAATCCGTTCGCTCGTGCCGGTCGGATCGAAGGAGAGGACCCGCAAGATGCCGAAACAACTGCCCCAATGTGGGGCCCGTTTTTCCGGTTTTGGTCTCCCGTGCTTCCAGTTTTGGACTCCTTTGGGGATCCCAAAATGGGGCTTGGCGCACGCTCGCCGAAATACCAGGACATGTCTTGTCAAAGCACCAAAGTCCCATGTCAATCAAGGGGGCAGAATGCTTGCGGCATGTTGTTGTTAAGAGCACCTTTTTGGCAGCTTTGCGGGTTGCTTTTGGGAAACCATGGGGCACCACCCAGAAGCGAATCCCCAGCGCCGTGCTTGACGGTTTGCTAGGCACGTTGGGCCAGCGGCGCATCCCTACGATCCTTGGCTGCGCGATCGATCGTTTGCTTTTGATTCCCCGGACAGTGCTGGAAGGCTGCTAAAGGAGTGCGACGATTGGCCTCACTCCTGAGTTCCTATGACCTTGTTGGTGGCACGCAAGAAGTTTGGACTTTTCGGGATCTAAACAGTGGCCAGATGAGTGATTCACAGATGTCGACCCCCCAAGTATCAAAAAAAACATGTTTTTTTGGCATTCAAGACCATTCCGCAGGCCCAAGTGGACCACAACAGAGCGTCCGATCCAATGATCTACGCGCCAGCGGCTTTGGGGAGCTGAGGGCTGGCAGAGCCCCATGCACCAGAATCAGTACTACTACCGGCCCATGCAACCAGGGTACCACCAGCAGCCTTATGGCTACAGCGCGGGCCCTCAGGTTTCCGTTTGAGCCTGCGTTGTTCAAATTCAAGCCTTAGGCCTTGTTAGATGGCACCGGGTTTGCTTGGAACTTAGATTGCTAAGGTTCTGGAATTGTAAAGGCTAGTTTTAGTTTGCCTTTTGGTCCATGGCCCCTTGTGGTGTGGACGCGTGGCCAAACGGAAGCCAGCTTGTTTTTTGCTTTGGACGTCTCATGCCAACTTGGTTTGTGGTGACATGCGCTGCGTCCAGAACATGGTATTTAAGATGTCCCCAGGGTCCACAGTCGCAGGAAAGGGTAGGATGGCTAGAGGCGCTGAAGGTCAAGGGCTACAGTGGATGCCCTGGATGCCCTAGATATTGCAAGTAGGGGAGCAAGCGAGCTCCCTAATCTAGTGTCATTTCCCCATGGTTTTCTGTGGGTTTGTGTGGTTGGTTACATGCTAGGAGCATCCACCATACGAGCTTGTGACGATCTCCGTTTCAATCCTTGGCCTTTTCCAGAATTCGCCAATGGGCCCACTTGAAGTGCCGAGGCATGCACAACTACTACAACCCCAACCAGGGCAATGGTGCCAAGACGCTTGGAACCGATTCCGGACTCGATTCGTCGATGCCGGAGAGAGATGCCGTTTGGGTGTCTGGGATGTTATAGGTTCCCAAATGTTTGGTTGCTTCCATTTGCTGAATTGAAAGTTTCTTAGTTTTCCCTGATGGGTTTAAAGTTAAAGGGAATCGATTTCACTACTGGACATATTTTCTCTATTTTTTTGCGGGGGACGTATCAGCCAATGGAAGGTAGTCGTTTTGCAAACTGGACTGCGCCCATTCGCCAGCTCAGCTTCAAGGGCTTCCAAGCTCCCAATAAGCCTCATCTAACCCAAATAGTTCCCTGCAAGCTCCCATCAACTCCCTCTCAGATCAACAAGGGAGCCTCCAGAACTGTCACGCAAGATTGAACCAAAAACAAGTGACTGAGAAGGTTGGAAAACTTCGAACCTGGGCACCGGTGTCAGTGCAAAAGCAGGTGTTCACTGAAGTACCTGCGGCAAATGCAGTTTTATGATATTGTTTTAGGAAAGAAGGGTAAACCAGAAACACAAGCCACAAACCAGGGTCCCGGTGTTCCCACAAACCAGGGTCCCTACTTGCAACTTGCAATCAGGCATCCACGGCATGAGTGGGTTGTCAGATGTAGGCATGCCTTCCTAACTTGCAAGGATCGCAATGGCCGGCGCTGCGGGCTTTGTGGGCGGCGCGGCGGTTGGGCATTACATGACCAAGGACTACAGCCACCACGGCTATGAAAGGCGAGGTTCCCAAAATTTCAGGCGCTTCCGTGGTACGGCAACTCATTGAGAGAAGATCTCTGAGACAGATGACAAGAGAAGACGCGCGCGCGCGCGAAGAATGTGTTGTGAAAATAGAAACGTCAAACAAGTGCAGCCTCTTTGCGGGTTTCGGGGCTTTGGGTCGAAGGTTAGCCTGATCGCGACGCCTAGCTGCAACACGTAAGCGCTTACGTTCGCACTCTTGCAGCACGTTTGCTGCCTCAACCTCTTTCGCAGATGGATTGCTGAATGCGTTCGGGGCCAGGACCATTTACTTTGCGCGATGCTAGGATGCGTGGCAGGCGCGGCGCCTTCGCAAGGTCAGTACCGATTCTGCGGCATGTCACGTGCAGCTTTTGTGCCAAGCGAAGCGCTTGCGCACAGTCACGCGCAGATGTCGAGGCGAGCACCGAGCGCAGCACTTTTGCAAGGCCAGGTCAGGCTTTGCGGCGGGCGCAGTAATTGCCGAGGTCATGCGCACATTTCGTGGCAGGCGCGGCACTTTCGCACGGTGATGTGGCAGTTGCAGGATTCGGGGCCGGCTCAGCACTCGTGCTAGGTCCGATGCAGATTTAGTGGTATGCGCAGTACTCAGTACTCAGCGATCTTGCACGGTTATGCGCAGATTGCTGGCAGGCGCAGCTTTCGCAAGGTCAAGCGCAGACTTCGTGGCAGGCGCAGCACTTTCGCAAGATCGACAGGGGAAAGAGGCAGATTTGCTATATTAGACGAGTAGCTGGATAGATGCATAGACAAGAATTGCTAGATAAGTATAGACGGATACACCGATGGCTATATTGACAGAAAAGATAAGATACTCGAGCTAGGTAGCTGGGTGGGTGGACAGATAGACGGAGTAGATGGATAAGTAGTAGTTGGATAGATAGATGGGCAAATAGAACAAGTGCAAAAAGATAGGGAGAATGGGTACACATAGGGAGAAATCTGGAAAGTGGATACAAAAGCAGAAAACACACACACTTTCAGATAGATAGGTACATAGGCAGGTAGATAGATAGATAGATAGGTGGATTGAGGTGACACAGAGAGAGAGAGAGAAGGTAGTTGAGTTAGATAGGTTGATTGATGGACAGAACAAAGAGACACAGTAAATAATAGCTAGACCTAGAGATACCGATGGAGAAAGAAACAAACGGGTTGATTGCCTGGTAGGTGGATGAAAATCGGTAGGCGGATGGCTTGGTCTGTTGATAGGTGGATAGATGGTTGGATGCATAGGAGAAAGAGAGGTAGGAAAGCAAGCCAAACAAGACAAAGTAAAAGAAAGAAGGCAAGGAAATAAATTTCAAGAAATAAATACAACAATTCAAAAAGATGAATGAAAGGAGGAAAGAACGAAGACATAAAATAGATCAAAAACAACGATGCCACGCAGCGAGAAGAGAGAAGAGAGAGAGAGAGAGAAAGAGAGAGAGAGAGAAAGAGAGAAAGAGAGAGGGAGAGAGAGAGAGAGATGAGAAAGAAAGCAATGCAGAATAACCAATGCAAAACAGAAGGGAAGAAGCAAATACGTAAAGATATATGCAAACTCATCAACAAAGAAAGCAAGAAAGCACAAAGAAATACATAAAGGAAACAAGGAAAGGTGGAAATAAGGAAGTACAAAAAAGAAAGAATATAATAAAGAAGGCGAAAGGCACGATGACAAACAGCAAGAAGAGAGAGAAAGGAGAAATAAAGATAACTAGAATGTAGCTCCAGTGTTTATATGTGTGAAACCTTCCCCCCCTGGCTACGCTGGTGCAAACCAGAACAGGACAACCATGACAATTGCCCCTCAAAAGCCTAGGGATTTCCTTGGGTTTCTTCCTTTCAGAAGTCCTCCAAGATGCTACCCCTGAAAGTGAACATTCATGAGCCCCAACCTTTCCCTTTCAAGCCACCTTTCAGCGGGTCATTCTGAGGGTGTGACTTGAAAACCGTTTGGACATGGGCATGTTTGCTTGGGGCCTGGCATCCTGGCATTCACTGTAAGGTGGGGTTGTTTATATAAATCAATTTTACCTAACACGTCGATGCTTCATTTTCGCATGTGTCTTCCTCTTGTAGGAAGCCTCACAGGCCCAAAGCCGGGCTTTTCGACCTTTTGCTTTGCCTATGTTGGCGCATTTGTGGTCATGGCCTCACAAGGCTCCGGCCTACCTTCCGGCCTTCCGGAGCCGGCCCCGGCCAGGTACAGCCGATGGCACACCATGGGCTACCGCAGGCCGCACGACCCGCACCACCCGCAACAGGGCGCAGGCGGACTCGACGTCCAGTAACAGGGCCTGCGAGTTGCAGGGGGGCTTTGGAAAGCCGAAAATCATGGATTCCCCCTACAAGTAGTGATGTGATGGGATTCGGCTCGACCAGTCAACTCAACTTTTGGCAGAGAATATCGTCACCCAGTCAGAGACAGAGCTGGACCGCGCGAATGCCACGAGTGATCTTGCTTTTCGATGTCGCTTTGGAAAGGCTATAGTCCAATGAGCCAAAGGTGCTCAACCACAGGCCAGGCGGCCAAAGGGGAAGTTCTTAAAAGAGAAGATCGAGCATAGAAGCACTGAATATGTTGCAGCTGCGTGACGGATGGTTTAATCCCAACAGCTGGCCTTGAGGGGGGCCAACACGGAGTTGGGTTCAGTTTGCAAATGTGGGGCGCGGAAGGGCTCGATTCCTGCCCTGTCCGATCTGGTTTCACATGTAGGCTGACTGTTTCGACGCGTCGGGGGTGAGGGATACGAAGAGGATCGGAACAGCAGGGTCTCAAGTGGGACGTGGGATTGGGTTAGTGATCTATTGCAACCCATTGGGACTGACACATTGGGGGAGGGGGGAATGCAGGAAAAACAAGTTTGTTCTTGTTTTTTTCTGGCTCTCATAGATTTCGACGTCGATCCCCGAAGCCCTCCTTCCGAGTAAGCCAACGCAAAAGTTCCGCACAAGGCCGACCCGGACATCATTAGGCAAAGACCCACGAAACCCGAAACTACGCCTAAACAATCCTAAGAACTTCTGTGAAGCCAACCCTAAGAGAAACAAAGATTGAATAAGCAACCCCAAGCAACCCGCCAACCCTAGACTCAAGCCGGAATCTGCCCTGAAACCCCCACCGCAGCCCCCCCCAACCCTCAAAGACTTGCTTCGGTGACTCCCAATGGGACACCCATGCGGGTATGGCTCAAATTTAAAGGAATTGGACCGCAGGTTGTCGTAACCCATTTTGGGGTTGCCCTATGTCTGACAACCACGCCCATGTGGGTTTGTCTATCCAAAGGTTTTTGGCCCTAACCAACCGAACCCTATGATACTATGCCACACGTTCGCAGGCACGGGGTCCAGCTGGATGGGTGACTGCACCTCGGCAAGGATGCCTACTACAATGCTTGGCTTTAGCTTTCCTTTCCTTTACGACAAACAATGACCGGCACTGTTTTTTTGGGTGTGTGTTTGGTTTAAACCGGGAAAAAAGCAACAACGGAGGAAAATCAGGTTCTCTGAATAAAGACACTTGGGTGGGTGTCTTTTTGATGGTACCCCTTGTTGGGTGGTTTTTGAAGGAGGATAAAGGAACACCATCCCAAAGGAGTTTTGCAACCAAAAGGGCTGTCCAGGGACTTCTTTTGTTCGACTGGTTAATGTTACATTTTGCATAGACCCTGGGCCAAGTTAGATGATTAGGAACCTTGGTGTGATAACAGGTGAGGAACTTACAGGTGGGGCAACCAAAGCAGCTGCAGGCAACGCAGATGCCTCAATTCCCCTTGTATGTGGGCAAATAAAGGGGATGTCGGAACCAGCATGGCCTTGCTGTCGGAGAAAATGTTTGTGGACAATACAAAGTTCCTGTCTTGTTTTGCGAATCCACTCGGGAAGTTAGTGGGAAGGCCCTCAATTCGTTCTTGGCCGAATCTGCTGGAGGCCGCCGTGGTGAGTGGAGCGGGCCCTGTAAGACCTGCATGGAGAAGTTTGGACCGAACAGCTGCGAGACGGTGTACAAGTTTCCGGAGGCGGGTATCGGGCATCCCCATTTGTAGCTCAATTGTTCCTTCCGTTGACGACTAAAAATTGGAGGTCTGCGGGTGAAGAGACCAGGTTGGATTAGTTCGTGAAACGTGATCGAGTCGAGGGCTGCTAGAGGTCTTGCAAGAGGGAACTCAGAGTTTGGCACCATGCCCTGTGGAAGCAAGCGGAGTGTCCCCCCCCCCCATCCCCCCCACCCGCAAAGACATCCCTTCTGGCTGGGGGTATTCAAAGGCAATCCTGAATTTCTCCAAAGTTATGCAAATGTGTTGTGTGCATGGGCTTACCAGCAGGGACTTTTGGAAATCCTGACCGAACTCGTTTCGGGTGGTTTGCTTTGGGTTTCTTTGGGTTTTCCTTGTGACTTCCATGGGTGCCCTCTTTGGCTGCACCAAAGGCACGGAGGAGTCCTTTTCCGATTTGGACATCGTAGCATGCTAGGGTGAGACTCCGAGGCCCCAGGGGGTTGTTGAACAGATGTCTGAGCAGCCAGGTTTGAGCAACTGTCTTTTCTGCATCTTGGCTGTTTAAAGGCAACCCAAGATCGTTTTTGGTGACTCCATGTGACTCCCCTTCTGTGGACCCATTTTTTGGGTGTTCCCCAAAAGACGTTCCTCCACGGTTGGTTTTTGGATGCCATGCTCTGCAGATCGGGTTTGGGGGGTTCATCGGATTGTCTTCTGCATTTTGGGCCAAGGGTCAGCTTCCCTCGCGGTTTGGATGGGCTTGTGGTTAGGTTTTCCATTTACTCACTCCCTAAGTTCAACTGCACCTTAGTCACCTTTTTGGGCCTGCACCATTTTAGTGGGAAACAAAACGTTCGGACTTGTTTCGTCCGTACACTCGATTGGAACGCAAGTTTGGGGAAGTCGAATGCGATTTCGGGAAGTTGTGGCGAGGGCGGCCGAATTCGGGACGTCGAGCATCGACCTGGCAAAATCCCTGCCCAGTCCCCCCGTGTTTAACAAGCCCATACAACCTGATTTGGGCATCAAAATAGAGGATTCATGCACCCAACAAAATGTCTGGTTTTTCTTCTTGGCGTCCCTCTCCTCTTGGTTAAGCCAACCCCAGGGTTTGGTACTTTTTATATACATATATATATATATATATATATATTATATAAGAAAACAAAAACACGGCCCCACCTACCAAGCAGCTGATTGCTGGAAGCTCGGATCATGAGGCTGCCAACCGTGATGACATCATGTCGACGGCCTTCACCATGGACAGCGTTTTAGGCGCGATGGCCTTTTTGATGACCTTTCGGTCAAGTCAAGTCTGATTATGTGTTTTTGAGGAACTGTTTTTGGAGGTGTCTGAAGGGAAGCCAACAGGGAAACCACCTATTTTGGTGGACCCTTTTGACAGGTCCGAGGTGTTTGTTAATCCGGGGGTCAAGATAACGAGACCATCGTAAGTTGTGGTGAGTTAGGGGGTTCCTGTTCTTTTTGGTTCCCCTAGCTGTAACATGGCAGGGGCATCGGGAGATGTTTAAGGATACCGCGAGAATCCGATGACTGGGGGAGCACCCATTGGAAGCTTCTGGTACGCAATCTTCTCCATGGTTTGTCAACACTATTGCCCCCCCATCGGAAGGACTGGGTCCGTTCTACTTGTGCAAGATCTGTAAAATGAGTAACAGCTCAGCAAGATGTAGGCAAGGGAAACCACCAGGACATGCAATTTGGACAAACCGTCAAACTCGCCAGGATGGAGTAGGTTGCTGAGGCTTCTGGAGACGAGACGCGCTGGCCAGCGCAGGCAGCATAAGTCAAGCTTGCAGGTTTTGCTTTAGGTGAAGCATAAAAAAGAGAAAAGGAGTGCAAGCAGTGCTTGCTGCACAAAGTACTGAGTTTGTCCAATCCACAACTGCAAGCCTAGCGGCCCGCTCTCCAACAAACAGGGGTCATGACCATCCTTCCAACATGGTCGACGTCAGGCTTTATCCGCCTGACCTTCAGCGACATCAAGGGTACCGACCTCACCAAGGTTCGGCGGTCGGCCGGCGGGCGGAATGGGAAGGTTTGCTTGCGTGGGCAGCGGCCAAAAGGCAGAGAGCAGGGATGCCCTGCTCAATAGAACCAAGGGACTCCCTTGAACAAGTCGTGATCGCTTGGGATTGCTCTCGCTCCCCCCCCCCCCACCTCAAAAAAAGGCAAGGGAGGCAAATCCTGGAGCATGGCGTATGCTCAAATCTAGGCCAAGACGATTGGCAAGAGCCTTCAGCCTGAAGCAGTTTCCCTGACGGAAGCTTGCTTAAGATTGCTTAGGCAAGGCTCGGTTGGGACAGAGAAGATCCCCATTGAAGCGGTTCAGTGCTGGTTCAGGACAGATTGTAGGTGGTGTTTGGCCTGGTAAACTTGCATGCTCCTCTCGGGCGTCTGCTCGGACATGATTTGGCTGATGCCTAGGCATAAACCTGCTTCAAAGCGGACGATTCCTGCTTCAAAGCAGACGGTCACAAGCCAGCTTGCCCAAACCTACACCATATGTCACACAATTATCACTTTCTGGCGTCCTCCTTTGAGTCTATTTGTAGGCAACGAGCCAACCTTTTATCTCCAGACCGTTTGCAACAGTGGAAAGGCTGCTTGGTTTGAATCGTGCTGCTACTACAACAAGTATAGTCCTTTGGTTTGAAAGGTAGGTGGATGCAAAGCAAGGCGAGCTTTTCGTTACCGCGAAACGGAGCAAGGCGAACCCGATCTGATACTCGTTGCCCTTTGCACCCCTTAGCTGAGCCTGAGACTGTCAACATCAGGAGTCATCGCTTTTTGGCTCCGAAGCCTTCTTGTGCCACACCCCTCACTGTGTGTGTGTGTGTGTTTGTGGGTTCTGGGCCAGTGTTTGGCAACGTGAGGGGCGGAATTACACACCTTATTCCTCCACGATCATGACTTAACTTGGTTTTGAAGCCCCCCAGTCCCACTCTAAGCATTTGGACCCGCGTGGTTGGGTTTCCCGGTCCTGGCAAAAAGGCTTTTGGCCCCAAGGTTCCAAATCGCAGGCGAAAAGGCTCTGGTGAAACTCGACAGTTGCCCAAAGCGAATGGACCTTGGATTTGACCCTTGATTTGCCCCTCGTTCCCCCAAAAGCTGAGTTACCCTCTCACCAACATGGCACCTCACAGAAAATGCCTCCAAGAAAAAGCTGATCTTCCAGGTACCCTGGTGCCATGTTGGGAAGGCCGTACCTTGTCTTCTGGGTCCTTTTTGGTTGCAACGGGTTGCAACTTCCAGCCCCCGGGGAAAGTTTGATCAACGCAAGCGGAGGCCCGTATTTGCCCACCAGATGGCTGGCATTGGGACCCCAAGCTGCACCTTGGCCTCCAGAAAAAGCCGAGCCGCGGCCCCATTTACTGAAATGAGGGGGAAATAACGCATGGAGACGGAGGGCCGCATGTTCCCTACCATTTGCTGAAATGAAGATTTCTTATTTCTCCAGCTGTTGATTTCAAAGGGAATCGATGTCACTGGACATACGTCCTCATTTTGCTCAGGGGACGTAAGCAACGGAGGCTAGTGTGGCTTGTGTGGTTGGGCCTTTGCTTCGGTGTTTGTGCGGTCAGGTGTGAAGTGTTCGTGGATGCCAGGGTTACTTTGTCCCCTTGTAGCCGGGATAATACATTGATTTTTGGTTGCCAATGTCAAGTGGCTTTGTGCGGAGAAAAAAGAAAACGGAGCCCCCCAGAAAGTGGGTTGGTTCGATTCCTTACAGTTTCTTGGGCACCACACTGGCCCATGAAAACTCCTCTTGAAGGAGGTCGTGGATCCTCAGTTGCAGCAGGGCTCTCTTTTTTTTTTCTGCCAGGGCAAGCCACCATTGGGGGCCCAAGCAAGAACTGGTGTATCGGTCACAAAAAATGGGTGAATTGGGCCAAAAGACATACACAGATGCGTTGGCCGTCACTCCAAGACCAAAGGCGAGCCACCATTGGGGCCAGATTCGGAGACAGAACTACATGGCTAGTATCGTGTGAGAATCTGAGACCTTCAAAGTTGCGCGTAAATCCAACCATGGAGTGTCGCTCCGAATTTCTTGCTGGTGCTCAGTAGGGGGTGATGCAGGGTTTTGGGATTGAACCGGAAGCACTTTTGGATTACACAGGAAACCATAGGGTATGTGTTTGTTCCTCTTTTCTTCCCGCGTCATTCCAACTCATTCGCTGCTGAGAACCAGCAAGACTTGGGAACGGCATGCGAGAGAGACAGAGAGAGAGAGAGAGAGAGAGAGCAATGGAGAGAGCGGGATAAAAGCAGAAAGAAAGGAAGAAAGAAAGGAAGGATGAAAAAAAGAAAGGAAGGACGAGGGAATGAAAGAACACCATGGAAGAAAGAAACAAGTACAGAGACGAAAGACACCATAAGCAAAGAAAAAGAAAAGAAGCAAGCTAACAGACAAAAGTGTAGTCCATGTATTTCTCTCCACCAGGTCCGTTCCCCCAATACAGCAACCAGCATGTGCGCCAGGAACAACTTCACCGGCGTTTGGAGTCCTCCGGAGCGGGCTGAAAAACTGGGAATTGAGGATGAGGCTTCTGGGTGCGAAGCGGAAGCTCTTGACTGCTCTTGGGCAAGGGGTTCGAACTACCTGGAGTCTCCTTCTGACCCTTAAAGTCATTGCCCAAAATAATGGGGGTTGTCATGGAGACTCCAGGTGGACTTTAGCTTTTTGGTGTTGTTTTCAAGTTGGGTTTTCCACTCAACCCCCAAGCTTTTTGTGGGGGGGTCAACAGCAACCAAGTGAGGCTCATGACCGCTACAATGCAGGCCCCCGGGCCCTGCAATGAGGAACCCGGGCCAATTTCTCATGGGCCCTTGAAAAGCAAGCCATTCTGAGGGCCCAACAACAATCGGGAGCCTTAGGGAATATGCAATAATTGGTCAGGAACCCAAAAAAGGGGAGGCTACTGTGGATGGTTGCGAACTCCATTTTCCACCACTCGGAAGCCAATTGTTGGTATTCATAGGCGAGTCGTTGTTCTTCGGGTTTCTTCGGTGGTTTCTTGACTTCGTCCATCCGTGAGAGATGGCTTCCACCTCCAGGGGTTGAAGACAGCCATTTACCAGGACTCCTCAAAGGATCTCCATGTTGCAACCTGTTGACACATGGATGGCTTTTTCAACACCAAAATAAGGGGAAACCGCCATTGACAAGCTGCAATGTTCAGGTGTGTACTGTAAGGATCCCTGAATTTGCCCTGGGTAGTGGCTTGGGGATAGTGGTTAGCCTTAGCCCTTTCCTGCGTGATAAGTAGCTAGCATTCGCAGATTGTTCCAAAAGAACCTTACCAATAAATTATATTAAGTGGAATTCTGCCATAAATCGCACAGAGTTTCGGCGCATTTCTCGGTATCTCCACTTTGCCCATCCCATGGTTGTTGTTGGGAAACGTTTTACATGTTTGCTTGCTGTGGTTGAGGGGTTGAAATCCAACCACTTCACTGCTTAAATATGCTTCTTTGTTTGCCCCTCTTTCCAAGGTCAACCGAGATCCAGTGCGTATCCCCTGGAGGACAAGCAGGACATCTTCATCACGCTGAGCCCAGTGGAGGAGCAGAGCGCTGAGGTGCCGGAGCCCAAGCCGAAGTCTCCGCAGGAGCGGGGTGAAGCCTCGCACGTAAGCAGGGGAACTCGACCTCACCTGGTCATCCGTAAACCACCCCAACATCTGCACTAAACAAACCCTGAGCCTCCCTCAAGCCCGTTCACCAGCCCCTACTAACCTACCCTGAACCATTCCAAAGTGATCTCCAACATGGTTGATCAAAGAAAGCTTCGTCAGTCCAGACCTGCACATCCGGAGTCACCTCGCACGCATTCGCAGGACAGTGGCACCATCCCACCGTGGAGGAAGGGTGGCGAGATCAGCGGCGGACCTTTGCCGCTGCCTCGGGGCCTCGAAGACGACCTGGCTGAAAGCCAGCGAGCTGTTGGCTGGTTCTGAGTGAAATGGTTTCTGTGAACCCTCAACTCGCGGTGTCCTTTATTTTGTTCTTCTTTTGGTCCCAAACCTCCGAAAGTTGAGCTTCTACCTGTTGAACAAGAAAGCGGAACTAGCAACGGGAGCATCAGAGAGGCCACAAGCTGCTCGCAGGTCCTTTGTGTTTCAGTTTCTCATCGTCGGCTTGTGCAACTCGGCATGCAGCAACCAATTGGTGAGGACCCTGTGGTAAAAACACCCCAGCTGATTGGGTGTGTCTCGTCTCTAAAAGATCGACCACTGGTGGCGATAATTGGTTAAGTTTACACGCGACGCCAACCAAGGAGGGTATATGGCTCGCCAAAAATAGGGGGGGCTCGCAACAGGATCTCCAGGAACAGGATCTCCACCCTCGAAAAGGTCCACAAAAGCGTCTCGCGCGTCACGCAGCGCACCGCCTTTTGTCCGCTACGTGCCGAAATTTGAGTGTATTTTGAGCCCTGCGCCCGCAGTTCTCACAGGATTCACGTCACATGGATTCAATACAGAATCTGGGGTATGACACAAAGATGCCCACTTGAGACTCGAAACGGAGAATTCAGGCTGTCTGGGACCAGCCCAGGTTGTATGTGTGCCTGCTGCTTCTTACTCTGCAACTGCGGGTCGTCTTCGCATCGGCCACGACCCAACATGGCGCCTCAAGGATTTGAGCCGCTTGGCCGGGCGAGCGCCGGGCGCTTTGGGGGTGGGGTGGGGTGGGGTTGGGCTCTCTCGCGGCTTCCGGGGGGTTTTTCGGGGACTGGCTTTGGCCCGCGCAGCGCTCCAAGATCGGTAAGGCATGGTCATCTACACGAAGATATCGCATGTTGTACCTTCAAGAGGGAGATGCTGTGCATTCGAGAGGGCCGCCCACTGCACTGATACTGCACCCCCCAGAGTTTCTGGACTTTATATGTTTTGTTTGTGGCAAACAAAGAAGTTAAATTGTGTTACTTTTTGTTGGCCAATCTACTTGATCGCAAGTGAGGCACTTTTCAGCATTGCCACATTTGCCTCAGCATGTTTTTCAAAGCTGCAGGCACAGCACCCTCAATGAAACAAAATAAATCTGCCTTTGAAAGATGAGCAAGCCTTCGGCAGAAATGTGGCCTCTGCTTTTCCTTCAGGTAGCCGGTGTTCTACTCTTCGGGATTTCAGACTCGGCCAAAAGCGATTTGGCCAACGGTGCGCGGGTGTTACGCCTTTCTGATGTCCCAATCGGGCGCGTTACAGGTGACAGCTCCAATGCTTGCAAAACACGGCAAACAAACACCATGTGAATTAAGCCGTTGAACCAAGGAGTTCAAATCCCAATCTAAACTGGGCGGTAACTGCCAACCGCAGAGTGGCGCTGAGAGCAAGACGCCGGGTGAGAAAGAATGTTGGATTCTTACCATTGGGTTTGGATAGGCTTCAATGCCAGGATCTGAGGAAACCGTAGCAGTTCTTCGTAAGTTCTGGGGAGTAGAACGAGATCACAATCGCCCCCTTTCCTCATTTTAGGCTTTGGCATTCTTGGCGGTTCCCAGCCGTCCCTTAGGTTTTTTAGGTTTTTGGGGTGTAGTGGTCAGGTTTCCATATAGCCCAGTAAGTGATTCGTTTTTAGCAGGGGATCTGAAAACGGACAGCCCAGTACGTGTATAAAGTCAAATGCAAAAGAGACAGTGAAGGATGCCAAGTTCCCCAGTTCTGAAGCTGCAACTGGAAACAACGATCCGTTTTTTGCAAAACAAATCTTGGGTAAACTTTGAGGCTTCTTTGTTACTTTGCGGGTCGTATTGCACAAGCACTTCACAGAACCTACCCGTTTCTACTTCAAAGTTCCTTGTTACTTGCAATATGGCAGTGGCATTCGTAGCTTTTCCCAGGATGTCATCCTACAGCCCTCCAGTAATGGCAGCTGCAGCACCTATGGCACCTATGGCGCCTATGGCACCTATGGCACAGCCAATGGCACAGCCCATGGTCCAGTCGGGGCCTGAGCCAGGCAAGTTGTTTAAGAGGCGTCCCCCAGCTAGGTCCCTTCTCTTCCATTTTTATGGCGAGCTCACCTGGGAGTACAAGGAAAACGGCCCTTTACTTGGGGATCCAATTCTTAATTCAGCTTCTGGACTGATAGTAACTAGCTCCCCCAGCTAGGTGCCCTTTCTCACCAGCATTTTTTTGGGGAGAGGTCCGCTACTAAAATAGACTGCAGAAAAAGGTTGGCACCCTGATTCTAACCTCTCTACTGGAGGACCTAGTTTCATGCACCAGGAAGTCAAGCAGTTCGAGAAGCCTCAATGATTGACACATGCCCATGTTGGGCAAATTGCTGTGGAACAAGTGTGCGTTCATGTTTGGGCCGGCCAATCGAAAGAACTCTCTCGAGGTGTCACTGGCCGTTGCCCCCCCCCCCCCAGATGGATGGTTCCGCCCATGGTTTGGAGCTCCAGGGTAGAGCAGGTGCTTGACTGCTATTGGGAAACGGATCTTTAGACTTTAACTTTTTGGTTGAAATCAAGTTGGGTTTCCACTAAACCCCCAAAAGGTTATTCACTTTCTTGCAGGAAGTTCAACAGCAACCAAGGGTGTTTCAAGCCCTGGCTGAAGGCCGGGATTCGCAGCACCCGTCGCTGCGGCGCCTATGGCTATGCAACTTGACCGCATGCGGGGAGTCTGACACCTTGCTGTTTGAGGGTGCTAAATAAGCACGGCTCAAAAACAATGAGATACATGTTGCCAATTTGAACCATGGCTTTTTCCACCAAAATACAGGGAAGCCGCCATTTACAAGGCAATGTTCAGGTGTATAATGCATTCGGATCCCTGGAAAAACCGGGCGAGTTTGGGTACGGCTGGGCGCATTGACTGGGAGTCGGCCTAAGGAAGGGATGAAGCTCTGTTTCGCACGGCTCCTGAAACGTGGGGCCAAGAATTCCTTGGCGCCCAGCATCTCCCAGCCATCCGGTGCCTTAGCTTTTTCAGTTTCTTAGTGTTTAGTGGGGGGGGGGGAACTTTCCGAATTTGTCCCACTGAAAGTTAAAAACCTTTGGCTAGTGGTTGGGTGTCCGAATTTCTCCCACTGAAAGTTAGTCACTCGTAGCGGGGGATCTGAAAACGGACAGCCCAGATTCCTAGCATTTCAAGGCAGAGGGGCAATGGTGATAAAGTGGGAACCCCTTTTTTTTCTCGGATGCATCATTGCGCCAGAAGAGTATGGTATGCATAGTTAGTATTCGTATGCCTTTGTGTGTAGTGTGTTGTTTTGAGGATACCCCGTTTGGAGATGGTATTTCAAAAGTCGCCAAAGGCCAACCACGCACGTTCCACCTAAAAGTTAGTTTTTGTTTCCCCCAACCCGCTTGCGGGTTTGCGAAAAAGGCGCCCCCCCCCCTTCGTGTTTGGGTTTTCCCCTATTTTCCCCCCATGTTCGAACCCAAAAAAGGAGGTCTCCAAAAAGGAGATGCCTTTGACGGCTCGGGGCATGTTCCGCAGGTCGGGCCTGGCTGTGGCCGCCGCGGCACCCATGGCTATGCAACGTGGCGCTTTTTGGTTAGGATGAATGTTGGCCCCGGATGAATAAACCCCTGGTTTATTAATATGGGGGTTGTTCCCCTCCAAAAGTGAGAAATCCCCAGTAAAACCGGGGACACTCCCATATTAATAAGCCGGGGTGTATTAATCCGGGGTCAACATTAGACATTTGCTGAGATGAATATGTTTTTTTTTTGGTGGTCTTCCCCTTTTTGGGGCTTGAAGGTAATCTATCGCTACTTATGTGTTTACTTTTTCCCAAGGGGGCTGGAGCAAATGGAAGATTGGTGTTATGCCCCATGTACCAGGGCAACAGGTCAATAGTGCAGTCATATGCTCCATATGCTCTATGGGGCACCTCTTCTTGCTTCCCCAGGATTAGCTCCCCTTTTGTTTTGTTTTTTGCTTTTTTGGGGTCCCTTTGTTTTCCACTAACCAGGCAAACAATATATATTTTTGCTGGGGTCCTAATTCCAGCCAAGATTCGTGGTCGACGTGTTTTCGGGAACGGGTCAACAAGTGGGAGATGCTGTGTCAAGGAGTGACAAGGAGTGCCCATCTTCGGATCCCTCTTTCGGCGCGTGCCGAAGGGACTCGAATTACCCTGTCCCCCAACATGAAACCCCCCAGAGGATGCCTTTGAAAGGACACCTCCAGGATCCCGTCAGATTCTGGGGGCCGGGGAGGAGGCAAGCCCCTAAGGCCTTATTTGGGGCTTGGGGCTCCCTCCCCCCCCTCCCCCCTGCGAAGGACACCGAGCTGGGCGAAGCCGGGCTCGGGAAATGGAGAACGGCTTGGGCTAGGGGCCACATCTCTCTGTGCGCATGTGTTTTTTTTTCTTCTCCGGTGGGTGCCCCTTGCCATGTTGCAAGTAGGGGAGCCAGGGAAATCCCGGAATCTTCCGTCACTTCAATGGTTGTGTGGTTGGGTGTGGTTGATTTCCTTGCAATATGCGCAGGTTTATCGTGGCCTGTCGGATTCCCGACTGTCAGGATTTGGATGTGGGTCAAAATGAAACCACAGATTGCAGTCCATGGTTCCTCTTACCAGGGTTCCATTTGGGGTACCTATTCTTGACCCACGGCCATTTTACCTTGATGACTCTGAATGATTTACCTCAAGAAAGCTTCGATCCCCACGCTAGCTTAGGCCGGCTGTTCGCAGGGCTGAACATCCACAAGCATATGTCTCAACGGGATCTCGTCTTCACCCTCCAATGAAGAAAACAAAACAGGGGGACCACCCTCCTTCCCCTTGAGACAGGAGATGCGAGAACCCTCTTTTGCACAGCTTGATTTACTTCCCGAGTTTCTGGACTTACTTTGCGGGAACACCACGGCGATAGCAAATGTCGAACTCCTTTTTGTGGCTTTAAAGGGAAACCACCCTTTAAAATAACACCCCCTTTTTGAAAAGAGACACACTCACTTACCCACTTGTCTCAAATAGAAAACCGTATCTTCACCAATCATAGAAACCCCAACGCTCCTTAGAAACCCTTAGAGACCCCTTAGAAACCTCCTGGAAACTCCTTAGAAACCCTCCCCCGCTTAGAAACCCTTAAAAACCTCAAGTGAACACCCCTTAGAAAACCCCAACACCTCGAGGCAGGCCTTCGCTGGCCACCCGGCGCCTCAGGCAGCTTGACGGCCTCAGGATCTTCGGACTCACGTTTGTCCGTTCCGTTTCCGACTTTAGGCACTTTTTGGGCTTGGACCATTTTGAACTTCTAGGGGTACCTCCCCCATTCTTCCAGGGATCCTTCTTTCTAGAAAACCTCCGGAAACCCAGGGAAAACGGCCAGTTTTTGGAAAGAACGATAGTTCAACATAATGGGGAATCAATCCCTAAAAAACTGGTAGATAAAGAGGTGGTTCTTTTTTTGGCCAATCCACTCAGGACCATTTTAGTGGTAAATAAGCGAGTTGAGCAACCGTTTGTTTGCCATGCCAATGCAATGGGTGTTCTTTGTTCAGCTTGGACGCTCTGCATCTTCCGCTTCTGGCTGTAAAACCGCAATTTCTGGAATATCGATGTGAGACATGCATTGTCTCAGGTGTCTCACTTCCCGAGTTCCTGGACTTAGCACTTTTTGGGAAGGCTTTTTTAGCGGTAAACAACAAACGTGGATATGTGTTGGCCAGTCCACTCAGCTTTTTTAGAATTAGTTCCCCTTCTATTTATTTTTTTTTTGATTGTTTGGGGTCCCCTTTGTTTTCCACTAACCAGGCAACAAAGTGTGTTTTTTGCTGGGGTCCTAATTCCAGCCTAGTCAGGAAAGGAGGTTCTCAAAGCTTGCATTGGTCGCAGTGGGCCCTATGACCATCGAGAGAATTGGCACGGCTGTCAGTCCCCCTTGGCATGGAACTCAGTTTTTGTGTTGGAGGAATCTCCTTTCCTTGTCTGCCTTTTTGGCTTCCCATTAAAACCCAAAAAAAACAAGGGGTGCCCTGGTAGCTCCCCCTCCACCATGTTTGGTTCCAGATGAAAATCCGCGATGCAACCTGCAGGGAAGAATGTTGAAGTTCTAGGGGACACTTCCATTTCCATTCTTTCCAGGGATGCTTCTTTTCAGAAAACCAGCAGAATCCAAGGGGACACAGCGATCGGTTCTTGAAAAGAGCGATGGTTGAACAGAATGGAAAAGGAATCAAGCCCTAGAGAAGTACATTCGGCTCCCGAACCTGCTGCCTATGCGAATTAGCGGCCATGCCGGCACCGACGTCAGACGCATGTCCAAGGTCCATGGAAAGAGAATTCCTTTCCCGTTTCCTCACCAAAACTGGGGCTCTCTTTACATACTGGGTGCTACATTGATTCAAATAGCCCCTAGTTGTTCTTTTGCCCAAAGGGAAGCCAAGCATGGCTTGGTTGTTTTCCAGACCCCCTAAAGCACCCAGTAAACCAACCCAAGGCGGTTTGAATTTCAAGGACACCTTGGGCCGAGGCAGCCAAGACATGCGCGAACATGCACGGCTTGCGCCGGGCGGTGAATCAGGGCCAGCAACTCGCCGCGAGAAGATGTCTGGGATTTCGTGGATTTACCTGCAAACCAAGCCATTATAAAGAACCTGTTGTTTTCTTTGGGGTGGGGGCACCAAACGACCATTTGCTTTGCAGTTTCCTGTTTTGTGGCCGGGGGGGAAGTATGGTCGACAGTCGGAGTCTATGTAAAGCCTACTTTTGGGGTTAAAGAGGGGGACACAACCTGGTGGTTTCTACCTCTTGTTGGTTCCTGGTGGGTTCCTGGTGGGTTCCTGGTGGTTTAAACAGAAATCAGTGGATTGGTGGCTTCCTCTTGGCCTTTTGCCGAGCCTGGGGCCTGGGGGCGAGGGGCCAGCCACCCAGAGTTGTAAGTGTATTTTTTGGTTTTTCTCCGAAGCAACAAGATGCTTGGGGAAACACCCCTTTTTTAGGGCAGCACGATGAGAATGAAGGGCAGGAAGAAGCATTACAAATATAAATATATATATATATATATGTAGCAGAGGAAGCGCATGAAATATGTTTTTTGAACATCCGTGTGGATGTCAATCAATCTCTGCAGTTTTGTTTGGCGGCAGGCCGGACGGCAGCCGGGCAGGAAAACAACCTGGTTTAGCGGGTCCCTCGCATCAAAACGCCTTGGGACTCTTGTGCCTCAGGTCCAAAAATGCTTCCGCAAAGTTGCGAGGTGGAAATGGAGGTCAAATCAACAGAACAACCGTGTAAATAGCTATATATATATATATATTCATATATATATATATATCAATAGGGAACAAACACAAAAGTGGCTGGTGGACATGAATCCCCACAAATCATGGCTCGCTGAGTCAGCTTCCGGTCTGGATGCAGGGCGACCTGCGATGAGTGCGACCAGCAGCAGCCATATGGCTGCGAGATCTACCGCTGCGATGCTTGGACTCCAGGTCCCTGGGTGTTCGGACAAGTTAGTTACCCGCTTATAAAGTTCCTCTGGTCAAGGGCCTTCCAATAGGGCCCCCCCAAGCCCAATAGGGGTTATTCCAGCAGGTCCGCCTCTTTGGGGGGGCCCTGACAAACATAGGAAAAGTCCCTCCCAAGTGGCGCCAATCGTGTCATCAGCGGGTTATAACCCAAGAGGCCGAATCACTCTACTATCTTGGCCCAACAGCCAAGTAGGGATTGCCCTCGAGTTGGGTCCACTTGGGTCCAATTGCCGGGGCTGCGTGTTGGCCTTGGGAATCCATGGCGGGGTGGTTGGCTAGACGGCGTTCAGATTGCGAAGTTCACCACAAAATCACCCATCAGGAAGGTCCCTATGAAGGGCTCCGGTTTCTGAATAATGATTTCCGTGTCGCACATACGCGCAGGAATTCGTGCTGCCATCTACTTTCGCCCATGTCTAACATATCTAGTGGCAAATTTAGCATCTAATGTATTAATCGTAAAGGACACTTGAAATGTTCTAGTGTGGCTATTGAACAAATCCGCGGTCTCCTGCAAACAGAATCTATATTCAGCATAGGGCATAGGCTAAATACGCAACATCGTCAGGAAAAACGTTTTGGAGTACACCAGGCCAAGCAATGGGGCTTTCGACAATACTTCGTGTTCCTATGTGAGGATGCGTGCGACTACGACGTGTGCATGAGCTGCTACCCCCTCACCAGTTTCGTGGACGAAGCAGCTCATGGAGGCATGTCCAAGGGCGTCAAGTCTGTGTGGATAGTTTTGCTTGTGGCTGCTTGTTCAAGCAATCCACTCCAACAGGAGTACTCTCTAAAAGACGCCCACACTTATGTTCATCCCGTTGGGTGTGCAAGACATCACCTTTTGGGGCCGTCACTGCCAACATTTGGGTATATCAGATGTCTTCCCACGTTGTTGTTTCACTCCGTAACGCGGTTTTCCAGACGATGCTTTTACGATTTGCGTTCCAAGTTTGCTTCCTTTCGGCGGGGTTGGGGCGATGGTCACTTGTTGGCCGGGCCCAGTGAGTCAGCCCCAAGCCGGGCGAATTTCTAGCTTGCGATCGGCGCGATAGGCAGGGAATGAGGGAATGAGGGAATGACCCTTAACCAGCCAAGTGGTGGCTTCCTTTTTTCGGGGACCAAAGCCTGGGTTCACTCCCACATCCCCTACCTATCGCACCAGCAAGTGATTTGGGCCGCAGGCGGCCGTTTTTTGGGCCTGACCAAAAAAAAGATGCGCCCACAAGACGTTGGACAAGTCTGGGGGAGTGGGTTCCCCCCAGAATAACTAGCTCCTCCCTCCACTCCATTCAAATAAGATCTCCTACTCCGGTGTTCGGCCAGGTTAGTGAGGTTACCTGGGTGATATCCCACTTATACGTCCGTTCAGTGAAGTTAACCATGTTATTCGTGGGTTAAAACCAGGTGGGTAACCACTTACTAACTTGGTAACGAACGTCCAGGTAGCCCATGCGCCGGGGTCTTGCTTCTTTTTTTCAGCTTAGCCAGTCTGCATCGCTTCGATGCATATAGGTTCTGAAACAAAGCCGCCGTCCTGTTACGACGTATGTTGGACAAACGTATGGCCCCCAGTCCGTCCTGGTTTCCTCAGGTATGCCAAACTTGTCAATAAAACGAGGGTGGTCGACCCCAAGAAGAAGCCGAAGGCTAATTATTGTGTCAATGTTGCGTCTTGCTGTGTGGCGTCTCGTCCTTGCAGTGTCCACACAGCTTAATTGAACCGCCTGTGGGTATGTGTTTGACGACGATGTCAAGACGGGGCTGAAACGGATAGGGTGCCCTGGCAAAAGCGCGTGGGCATTTGTTCAAGCACTGCACACCCCCAAGCTTAGGTGGCATCCCTCTCGCTTAGACCAACAACGATACCCTCAAAAGGCCACACCCATGTTTCTATCGCAGGCCAGAGCTGGCGCATGCTGCTGCAGACAGCTCCGCCAATGGCGCCCCGATCGGGGGTTTACCCCCCCCTTCCCTTTCCCGCTTTTTTCTGGTCGGGAGTGACGGTTTGCTGGTTTTCTCCGGGGCTCCAACTTGACTGCTATTGGGTTGGATCTTCAGACTTTAACTTTTTGGGAAAACAAGGGGCGTTCCACTAAACCCACAAAACATAAGCTTTTTGCAGAGGGGTCAACAGCAACCAAGCAATGTGTTGCTTCCTTTCCCCCCCGGTCACTTGTTTCTCTTCCTTTTGGCTATTGGGCATCCTCCGGTTTTGCTCCCGTGGCTGGACCCTCCATTCGGATGCTTGTGGCTCCCAGTCCGGGTTTCTTCCTTGGCAAATTTGGAGGGAGGGTCCTAAGGATACTTCGTATTTCCCATGGACACTGGCGGCCTTGGCTTCGGATTGCAGGTAGGGTTCATGAAATCAAAAAGCTTGTGAGGTAAACATCGATCTGCCTGATTTATTTCGAGCTCACCGAGCTCACAGAACCGAGCTCACCATGAGGCCCCTTACTTGAGGATCCCTGAGTTCAGCCTTTGGAGTTATATGGCCTCCCATGTTGGGCTACATTTTGGTTAGTCTATTTTCGTGGTTGGATTTGGATGCTCACGGTACGGAATTTTGGGTTTTGGCCCATAGCCATAGCTGGGGTTACGCAGGTTTTAGTCCACCTTTCTATGTACCATAATTCCATTTGGGACCTTTTTTTTTGTGTTTTACCCATAATATGGGACTCTCAAACAAAGTAGCGAGACTCCCGCGTGTAAGTAATTTCGACCGTGCCTCATATACAAAAGAGGTACCCCTTTTGCAGCTAGATGAAGCTCCGTCCCTTTTCATGTCTCGGCCGGGTTCGCGGGGGCGAATTGGCGAAAGCTGACCGGCTGACTGGCGAAAGCTGGTTCGATGTCCTAAAAGGATCTTTGGACAAAAGGCCCAAGGATTCATCCCTTCCCCCCAATGCTAAAACGGTTTTCCCCGGATTTGGGGTTTTCAAAAATCGGTTTTGGTATTAGGGACTGTTTCGCATTAGGAAGAAGGGATTATTGGATCTCGGGGTCCTTTTTTTTAAGGCAACGAATGATAAAAAAAATGTAGCTCAAAGGAATTCGGTGAGTGTTACTTGCCGGGTCAGTTTGTTTCTAAAAGGCAACGGATGATATTGTAGCTCAAAGGAATTCGGTGAGTAAGAAGAAACAAGAAGAAGAACAAGAACAAGAACAAGAACAAGAACAAGAACAACAAGAACAACAATGGGTCTAAGGAACGTCTCGGCAAGTTAGACCGATGGTTTCCCCCGTTCTGTGGCAAAGGGTCCAGTGCGCACATTGGAAAATAAGCTCAGGTGACATCCCCAACAGCATGCGATGCTCTTTTTAGTGCTCGCACCACCCCGCAGCCCTCGCAGAACCTCGTGGAACCCTCGTGGAACCTTACCTCAGGGCCGCCCCGGACCACCCCGGAGCCTATCGGGCTGAGACCCCAAAGGTTTTGAGCTGTTCAGGAAAAAACATGCGCAAGTGGCCAGTTCGACCTGAGGTGCAGGGGTGTCAGCCCGGCTCGCAACTATCATTGTTGTCAAATTAGCAAAGGCCCTAGTCTCGTTTGACATACTTTCTCCAGGGAACTGAGAGCCCCTTGGCTTGATAGATGCTTGCTTTCCTGGAAGAACCCCACCTCCCCGACCTCCACCCACCTCCACCCACCTCCACCCACCTCCACCCACCTCCACCCACCTCCACCCACCTCCACCCACCTCCACCCACCTCTCCACCCACCTCCGCCAACCTCCACACGTCCCACCCGTCAACCCCTCCGGGCAGGTGGACGGCTCAGGGCTGCTGAGTGGGCCATGGGGCGACGCACTGAAAGCCGCAGCCCGGGGCCCAAGTTTTCGGAACAGCGATAGGGACTGACGAGCCCAGGTGTTAGGATTTTTTGTTTAGTGTTTTTGTTGTTTGTTTTTTTCTTGGGGGGGGTCATTCCAATTCTCAGGACCCTTGCTTAGCACCAAGTTCTCACCGTCCTTTCCTGAATTCACCTAGGCTTGAGTGACTTTTAGCGAAGGCCATTTTGGGGCCGCCCTCATTCGACTCTGTTCTGCAGCAGTTGCCTGCTGACCTGCTGAATTGCAGAAACAGCTCTCCAAGTTGGTGGCGCTTGACAAAACGCGAATACCAACCAAAAAAGGGGGGGTAAGACTACCCGCCACACATGGACATCCTAACTCGCACTGAAGTCACCTGCCAATCCGATTATATCAAATGAGTTGCCCCGTGGACGAATAAACAATAACCTCCTGCTTCGGACACCCCGTTAAACGGGATCAATCCTCAAATCGATTTCTCAAAAAGTGACTCAAGTCCAGTTGAACCTCACTTTCTGAGTGGATGTGCCAAAAACTGTCCATTTTTGTTGTTTTTGTTTCGTGCGATGCGCATCCGGACCTATGGTAATTGAGCATTCAGAAGGCCTGCCTGGGGTTTGGCTGATCAAGGGTCGTCGGCAGCGCCTTCACTGTGGTGAAACTTCGGCTGTTCTTGGAGTGCATGCAATTCAACCAGAGGGTGCCTGGGATGTTATAGGTTCCCTCCCATGTGCTTGGTTGCTTCCGTTGCTTACATGAATATTTGTTTCATTTTCCCCTGTTGGTTTTAAAGGGAATCGATTCCACTGCTGGAAAAAGTTGCTCCTTTTTCCTGGGCGAAGAAGCAAATGGAAGAGGAGTGTAATCAACCTCAACCGGGAGGCGGACTAATGAACCCGCATTTGGGAGGTGCCCAGAGTCGTGATCCAGATCCCCTCTTAAATGGGCGTCCCCGTCAATCAGTCAGGGGTTCTGCAATCTCGGGTCATCCCAAAACCACCTGCTCAAGGCAATCCTTTGGTTTCCCAGTGTCCCTGGGATGTGTGGAATCAACACAGAGCAAAACAAGAACCCCCCCCCACCAACAAAAAGCCGAGGCACACTCAAAAGCCAGTGACCTTCCCTCTAGGTTCTTATGTTGAAATCAGCGCTTTCTAGAATTCACATGTTGTTGTTGTTGTTGTTGTTGTTGTTGTTGTTGTTGTTGTTGTTGTTGTTGTTGTTGTTGTTGTTGTTGTTGTTGTTGTTGTTGTTGTTGTTGTTGTTGTTGTTGTTGTTGTTGTTGTTGTTGTTGTTGTTGTTGTTGTTGCTGTTGCTGTTGCTGTTGCTGTTGCTGTTGCTGTTGCTGTTGCTGTTGCTGTTGCTGTTGCTGTTGCTGTTGCTGTTGCTGTTGCTGTTGCTGTTGCTGTTGCTGTTGCTGTTGCTGTTGCTGTTGCTGTTGCTGTTGCTGTTGCTGTTGCTGTTGCTGTTGCTGTTGTTGTTGTTGTTGTTGTTGTTGTTTGTTGTTGTTGTTGTTGTTGTTGTTGTTGTTGTTGTTGTTGTTGTTGTTGTTGTTGTTGTTGTTTTTTTTTTTTTTTGGGGGGGGGGGCTCAACTGGTTTTTGTTTTGGTTTTTCATGATGACAAGGTGCACCAACTCGAGCCACCCATCCCAAACCCATCCCAGACCCACCCAAACCCCAACCCACTAGACTGACTCCGCCCTTTAAAACACACAAAAAGAAGAAGGCGTGCCGAGCCCCCAACCTTTAAAAAAACCGGGGGCCCCACGACCCCCACCGCCTTCAGCCACCCCCCGACCCGACCCCCCGGGCCCCCCGGGCCCCGGAGGTGCTCTACGAGATGCGGCGCGCCTGGCCCTCGGAGCCCCGGTTCCGCGGCGCCCGCAACGGCCCCGCGGGGCAAGTCATCGCCTTCCTCGAGGCCAAAGGCGCGGCGGTTGGGGGGCGGAACCGGGGCGGAACCGGGGCGGTTGGGGCGAGGCGGGGGGAAGGCGGCTTGGTCTGCAGAAGCTGGTTTTTTGCTTTTCCCCCAAGGGGCGGTAGGGCGTTTGGGGCGTTTTCTTGTTTGTGTTTGCGGTTGTTTTTTGTTTCTTGCGGTGTTTTGTTTTTTGTTGTTCCTTTAATGTCTTTCTTCTTCTTGTTTTCTTCTGGGGGACGCGCCGCCGGCCCAAAAAACGGGAAGCAAGAACCCACCGCCCTTTTTTCCGATCCTGATTTGTTTGACCCGATTGTGTATCCTGGGACCTTGTCAAGTTCCATCAGGGTAAGCTGAATGGCACGTGCCAATCGTTTTCAAGACTGCATGAATTTCGATGAACCAAGCGATTCGCCATGGCCCTTCGGATCCCTAATGTTGGGTGTTGGCCTTAAAAGATGCGTTCTGGCTGGGCCGGCAACAACCCAACTAGCTAGGATCGAAATCAAAACCCGTGTAAAGCAGCTGGTTTTGAGAATTATATATATATATATATGTATATCCTTCACGTTGCCCAGCTGTGAAAATAGCCTTTTGGACCGGGACCCAAAATGGCGTATGCTGGCGTTCCCTTTTGGCTTTCCCAACCAAACCCAAAAAACGACTGCCTCAATGAAAGCACAAGCCATCTTCCCCAAACATGGTTCTCCTAGGTGAACCGGGGTGGGCATTCGAGATCTGGGTTTCTTGAAGAAACCACCCCCATACCGGGCTGTTCAAAGGTAAATTGCAAGATCCTTACCTTGTGGTACGCAAGGATTTGGTTCCCTATAGGAATTATGGATGAGGATTGGCGAACCCTACATTTTGAACAGCCCAGCTATGAATCCGTGTTTTTGTTTTTGTTTTTTTTCTCCGGGGTCGACAGAACTTGCAATGTACAAGGTGTTTGCACCAGCCAGAGCGAGAATTCGCCTTAGGCAAATTCAAAGGCAGTTTAAACAATTGACGCACCCCGCAAACCCGTCGAAACCTATATCCTAGGTTTTCCATCTAAAACAATGGGATTCTGGTTGCTGGCGTTTCTCAACCCCTGTTTTAACTAAAGGTTGGCCCCAAGTCTCTTTCATTTCTTGGCCCCTTGATTCAGAGAGGGCCTCTTGGCGGCCGAGCTTGTGGTGAACCCCCAACAAGGGGACACCCCAATAAAAAAAGATTACCCACCGCGGCTTCAATTTTTAGATCCGCGGTCCCATTCTGAGTTTGGGGCTCTACACGCCTGGCGTGCGGGATGGTTGAGGTGAAGGGTATTCCCCTTTGGTTGGCAAATCGCTGGCAAGCCACCACCCCCCGTCTCGCAACTTAAAATGAGCCCGGTCCATACGAACTGAGAGGACGGGTAACATGTCGTTTCGGCAGGATCAAAGGAAAAAGCATCCGAGTCCATGTCTGCTCGCCTATTTGTAATTTTTAGGATGCCGAAAGATGCGGCCGTCCCAAATAATCCTGTTGTAACTGTCCCCCCCAAAACAAGCGCAAGTTACTCCCTCAGCTCCCAGAAGGCCTCTGTAAATAGAACCAAGTCTTCCATTTCGGAGTCCTGGGAGCTTCCATGTTAGTCTGGGGAGAGAAGGCCACCTTGTTTTGTCTTTCCGTTTTCTTGTGAGAATGTTGACCCCTCAACCTCAAGCCTGGCCTGCCCTTTGCACGAATTAGCTGGTTGCCTGTTCGGGGCCTTTGGCCCTTCGGCATCTTTTTGATAAGACCAGTTTAGTGGTAAACAAGAAGTGTTGACTTTGTTTGATCAATCCACTCAGGAGTTGAGGAGTAGTCGCCAGTCAACATTCAACCACAACGACCAGGCAACAAAACGGTCAGCGCAGCAGCATATTTTAGCTTTGGCTCTTGTGTTAACAAGGGTTATTCAGAAGGATTTGTCTCATCTACACTTATTGTGATGGAACAGATGCTAATCCCGGTGGGGTTACACGATACCTAAGGCTATGTCGGGAGACTAACTGTGGAAGGAAAAGGGTGATGCGCGCTTGGAATATGGGCCTATTGGCCCATCAAGTTAAGCTCTTCCCTACTGCCGCAGCCGATTTGTGAAAACATGCGCTGGGTTTCATCGACAATTTGGTCAAACTCTCCACTCTGCTTGTTTTCCAGAATCTACTTGCAGGTGCTAGGGCTTGGTAAGTTGCATCCTTTTCTTTGGGCATAGTTCTGATATCCGCACCTGAGCAAGAGAAGCACCCACCGGTACATGAAGAGTGTGGGCTTGGCTGTTGTTTAGCGTCGCATGGCTTCTTCTTTTTCAAAGAGTTCCACGTCGGCGCGCTGAAACTCGGATTTGCTACCAGCTTTCCCGAGTCCGGGAACTGTGCCAACGCTTCATGCTGCGATGATCTCGGGGACCAAAGCGCCTGGCGGTTTGACAGGTACTCGCTCGAAAAGCCGAGAGGTCGCTCTTTCGTTTTGGCCGGAGTCTGCAGAGTTTCATCGGAGCACCCTGAATGGCTCGGACAGAAATCCCCAAAAGGTAACACCAAAACATACGCCCATGTAGATGTTTGAGCAATTTGAGATACTGTCGGTTGCAGAAATTCTGCACCACTCTGAAAGCAGGGAAAACCGTTGATCGGTATTTACAGGGGGTCATCATTTCAGTTTTCTTGTTTTAAGGTAGTGCAAGGTTTCGTCCACTCAAAGTCGGTATATAAACTACTTCGCCTCGTGCCTCACAATGTCCCATTGACGTTCTTTGTCAGGTCATGGGAATTTCGACGCCCGGCTGCAAGCAGTTGTTGTGACTCTTTCTGGCTCCACCGGAGCCAGCCTTCGGGCCCAAGGATCGATTTCTTTTTGGGGCAAAGTGGATGTTCATGGTCGGAACCGCCTCAATTTGTGATCCCCATGTACGTTTGTAAGGATGTCCACCGAAGGATTTCCGACTAAAAATGAGTACCAGACCCCAACTTGGTTGACGGCTTCCTAGTTTTCCCCTTTGGCTCCAGTTTCCACGGCAGTTGGTTCAACGGAGCTACCTTGAGCATACTGTGGATGGGCAAAATCCTGCACCAAAGAAGCACCCCCCTGCAAATACCAACAAACAGTGGTTTTTTATTGGTTTCAAGTGGCGCGAAATGGATCAGTAGGCTATGTAACCAGCAAAATGTGTGTTTCTCCTTGGAGAGTGCTGGCGTGGGCGTGGAAGCACATGCCAAAGGAGTTGTGAGCGCTGTGAGCGCTTCAGGAAGCATTGGCCGAGCACACGGAGAACGTTCTCAGGGAAAATCCTTCGTTGCCGCCTGGCGAAACCGTCAAAGGCTGAATGCATACGTTCATATATATATATATATTATGTGTGTGTGTGAACCCTTGGTTTCTGGGTGGATTATGCAAAATCAGCCCAAATCCAAAGGGTCCAACCAACATGGCCATGGGTTCATATATGGACTACAAGCAGCCGCACTCGCATCCCGTTTGCAGCATGGTGACCGCCTGAGGCTTCCGCACTAGGCCCGCTGCCGCGGGCCCAAGCGTTCCCGGCTCAGAGCCGCGCAGCTCGGTGGATGCCAAGTCCATGTTGCGAGTAAACCCTTGGTGGCCCCCCAGCCGTCCGGTTCCTTGGCTTTTTCAGGCTTTTGGGGTTGAGTGGTAGTTTCCATTTCACCCGCTAAAAGTTGGTCACTTTTAGCAGGGTTCTGAAAACGGACAGCCCAGAACCATGCACCACAAAACCCAGCATAAAACATGGTCAATGAGAGGGTGCCCGCTTTTCCCTTTTTGGCAATATGGCAGACGCAATGTACCGTAATGACCAACAATGATGAACCACAAAATCTGGGTAAAGCACGGTAAAGTGGAGGCCCCCTTGCAATATGGCAGGCCCATCTACCGTAGTGGTCGGGCATGAGGCTTACAGGATGTGGGCAGGAGAACCCCCGGCAACTGATTCCCAGGTTAGCCACCAGAATGTGTTGTTTGAGGGTACCGATTTTTCTGGTCGTAAAGCGGGCCAGATAATGAAATTCCACCCATTTTGGGGACCCCGGGGAGAACGGCACGCCCGTCAAAATCAGAAGGTTTGTGTTGGGGAGAAGAGCTGTGTTCCTTTATGCCACGCCAAGAGAGGAAGACACGAAAGGAAGCCTAGCCGTTTACAACTCGGTGATGTTATTACCTGGCCGAGTGGTTTCGTTTCGGTGAGTTTGGTGGGCGGTTTACTGTTTTTCAGATGCCATGTCAAGGACCCTGCTTCGCCCTGGGTCGGTGTCCCGGCTCCAGCGGATGTAAGGCATGCAGCAGGCCGGCTGCTCGCGGGGTCTTAAAGCCAAGCTTTATTAGAAAACCAGCATGTTTCACCATCTTTGCACCATTGACAAACCAAGTGGCCGCAGCGCGGGGGTGCTGCGGCCTGCGGCCTGCTTGCGGCCTGCGGCAATGGCGAATGTGGAGTTGGGCCCCGATGTCACCACCCTGGTGGTGAGAACCTCGCAGGACCTTCATCCGGATGCCTTCATTCAGATGGTCCAGCGCAACTGCGGCGAGGTTTGGGCTGGCTTCCCGGATGCAAGGCTTTGAGGTGGCCGAAGGTGTTGTTTTTGTTTCCTTGTTTTTTTGTTTAAACTGCGTATTTTGTTTTGTTTCTCAAACGCTTCCACAAAAATAAAAGCTGATCGCCTGGCAGCTCAGGAGCGGAGTTCCCCTTCGACTTTCTCTATTTGCCTTGCCCGCGGGTAGCCATCATCAACTTTGTCAGCCCTGAACTCTGCAATTGGGTATTTCAGATCCTGACCCAGCGCATCAGGTCAAAAACAAGTTGCGTGGTCAAGATTCAGCAGGCCAGGCATCTCGAAAATCCGCTGAACCAAATCGGAGAGTGGCGCCTCCCATTGATTTGGGGCAGGGATGATTCGGAAGCTCCCCGATCAACTTTCCCAGCTTTGGCAAGTGTCTGACATGTGAGTTCTCTACAAACCTCGCCAGGCTTTGTGGGTACTGCCTCGTTTGGCCCCTATGGGGCCTAAGTACTCTTTCGCCCTGCAGCAAGACGGAATTTCCGTCTCACGTTTTTCGTGCCCCGAAAAAGCACATGGGAACCCTTTGCCAAACGTGGGATTGTGACGCAACTGACCTCCATCCATCAGCCAAAAGGGTTTGTGGATGACCCAACTAATCAAAGGGTTGCTTGCCTCGCCCCGAGTGGCTGGTCGGAGCCATGAGGCACCCAGGCTTTTTTTTGACGCCTCGCTTGCCTTCCGAATTTGAGTAGAATCCATATCTAGATCACGCTCCTTTCACATGGCTTCCGCAGGCAATGTACCAAGGGCTGGCCACGAACCTCGCAGTTTTCTATGCCAAGGCGCGACCTCGAGTCTGCTTAGAATCAAAACGTGTTCGACTCCTAACGTGCTTTTTACCTACGAACCAAAAGGCGTCCCCGCCCTGCTTCTTTTCGAAGGTTGCAAAGAACAACTTCGCTTTTGAATTTGTGGCCTTCGGTTTCACGTTGGCTCTCAACCTGCCGCCAGCTTCTTGTTTGAAAGACGCGCCCGTTTGGCCCAGCCAGCTAGCAGTGGGACGAAAACGTACCATACCTGCCCATTGGGCGACCTGCGTCCCCTTTCAGGAATCGGGCGTGTCATTCTGGGTTCGGGAAATCCACGTGCACAGCCCCATGAGAGTTGCTACAGTAGCTCCTGGGGCCAGGGGCCGAGGTTTGGTGTGTGACATTGCTCTTTTGTGCTTGGGCTTTTGTCGAGGCAATGTTAACTTTGGATGAATCTGCAACCAATCCCAAGTAGCCCAACCTAACTTAAACACAACACGCAAATACCAGATACCAAAGCAGTCGCTTCCAACAAAACTAAATAGATCCAAAGCACACCCCTACCCAAATTAGGCCGCCAACAAAACAAGCAGTCCACAGCCAGGGGCCCGCAAAACGCGCCGAAACCGAAACCGACACCGACACCCGGCTCCACTAACTTGCCTCGAGAGGCGGGGCGCCGCGGCCTGGAGCGGCGGACTGTGCCCAAGGTCATCCTACAAGGTCAGGAGCTGCCCCTGCGCCTGGCCCCTCGGCGCGGAAAAGCGGGAGCGGCGAGTCCGGGTGTTGGGGGGGGGGGGTTGGGTTGGTGTTGGGTGGCGTGGGGCTGCGTGGGGGCGCGTGGGGTTTGCCGTTGGTTGGCTTTGGAGCTTCCAGTGGCTGAAGCCTAATTGGGTCACGAGCCCCTTTGCACAACGGAGCCTTCAATGGAGAACCCCGACTTTTTAGGGGCCCTTGACGACAGCCAGTCTTGAGGGCCCAAGAACAATCAAGACCTATTAGAAGAAGGAAGATGGTTTGTTTTCCCGAAGGCACTATGTTCATCTCTACTGCACATTTTTAGCATTTCCTGGGCGAAGAAGCAAGTCGAGGAAATCAGATAGCCCCTAGCTGGTTTGGACTTTGTTTGTTCCTGTGCTGGTTTTGCAAGGGAACCTATCTCTGGGCAGATTGCTTGTTTCCCAGAAGGCATATCCGCAAATGAAGCTGTTTGCGTGGCTCTGTGACATACTTGGGAAAATGGGCCGTCTTCCCATTGAACAGTTTTGGGTGGTGTGCACCCAACTTCTCTGCGCGCAACGGGTGCTTGAGGGCGTATGCATTAAAGGCGGCACCCCTTCACTATCCCTTGACTATGGAAGGGTCAGCTGCGCTCGAGTCCTGATTTGAACCCCCAGTTCCTTTCGATTGGGAACACGGAACACGCCTTGCCCGTAAACCCATCCAAACCCCGAATTGAGATCAACTGACTTCCATGGCTCTTCCTTGTTTTGAAAGCCCATCGAAGGGGGGGCTGTTAGATTTCAGATGCTGGGGTCAGGTTATCCCAGGGACACTGAATTCTGAGTCTTTGATTTTGCGGTCAAGTGCAACAACGTGAGTCGCGCCCGCCATACTCCTAAACCCCTAAACCACCCAAACCCGAAAAGCCGCTAAAAACCAAACCAACCAGGGAAACATGGAGTTGCGTTTTGTTGCGAGGCCCTTGACCAGTTCGTCACTGCGCAGATGGTCCGCCACTTCCGGTCCACCTTCCGGACAGCAGCGCCTCTGCTGACCAGTAGGGCTGACTTGTTTCAGGTACCCGCTGGATTTGCAGCCCTGGGTCTTGTGGGTAATGCATGGTTGTCGTTGGGGCACATTTTACATCTTCGCTCATTGTGGCTTAGTGGTTGAAATCCAACCACTTAACTGCTAAAAAATACGGAACTGTGCTTTCCCCAGCCCAACGTCAAGAATGGGCTGGCACGGAGTAAGCCCCTTGGCTAAGAAGGGGGGTGTCCCCAGTGGGGTTGAACGGGTTTCGGGTTTCTCAATCGAACACAAACCCCACGCCCTTTTAGCCACCGAGCTCAAAACCGCAGGCCTTGCCCAACTTGACAAAGACTTCGCCTCGGCCCAAAAGGTCAATGAAGGTGAAGTCAAACCCCCACGCGTGAATCGCTGGAAGCTTTTGATTGCCTGCAAATGGAACCCCAAAAAAGGGACATCCGTTTGAAGAGGAATCTCTTACAAAGGCCCTGTTTGGGATCCATGTCAAATCTGTGGGTCTCGGAGTCCCCGCCCAAAAAGTCCTCGCCCACATCAAAAGGTGCTCGGAGTCCTTCGCTGGCAAGTGTTCTCGCTTGGGCCGGGTCCCTGTGACACGTGGCCCAAAACCAGGGGCCCGCTCGGTGCCGAATTTCGATGTGACGATCGGGTTGGTTGGAGAATATAGGGAAGATTGAATCGCCTGAGAAGCCAAAGCTACAGTTTCACGATCGCAAGGCAGAAGCACTCCATTTCAGCGTGTGATTAATACCAAACTTGAACCTTCCCGCAGCCAACCCTACCTGAAACCCTGAACCCATCCCAAACAGACTTCATGTTTTTCGGTAAAGCCAACTCTCCTAGCTTAAACCAAGCGAGCCAACTGCCCACCGGTGATGCTAGTGGTGTTGATCATGCATGTACGAGTTTCTGAAAGTTGGAGAATGCTGCAACATATCGACCTGTGGCCCAAAGCAAGCGACGACGAAAGCGTGAGAAAACAAGATTTGCCTGAATTATTGTAGTTGTGCTTAAGGCCCCTTTTGGAGCATTTTGGCGCTGTGAGTTTTGGAGGCTCAAAAAAGGTACCCTTCTTGTTTCCAGTGTAAAGCGCGGCTGGAATCAACGTTTTTTTTTTAAAGAATCGCCAAATCCCCAACCAATGGTTTTTATTTTGGTCCTGGTGAAAGGCACCGAGATGGGCTTCCTTTCAATCCGCTGCCTTGAGGCAGACATCGGGAGGCCGTCCAGGCAGGTTGGGGGGTTGGTGGGTTCTGAATGCAGGGGCTACTGGACATACTGTGGATGGACAAGATCCTGCACCACCTAAAAAACCCCGGAATGAATGATTCCCCTGTAAATACAAACAAACAATGGCTTCCTATGGTTTCAAAGCGGTGCAGGATTTCGTCCATCCACAGTATGTTCTGAATTCTTA